GTCACCCCCCCAACCCCCACACCCCGCCCCGCCCCCCCCGAAATAAACACATCCCATTGGTCACCACCACTTCTGCTTCTAGCCACTCTCCTCCTAGCCCTGCCAATCCTTTCCTGGTCCAGTCCTGGCCTTCCAGCCTCAGTCTCCCCATCCAGTGGCCATGGAGACCTTCCAAAAACCAAATCTGACCCTGTCCTTCCCCTACCTAGGATTCTCCGGGGTTCGCCACTGCCTCTGCTCAGCTCCCCAGCTCAGCCCTCAGAGCCCTCTGGGATCTGGCCACTGCTGACTTGTCTCACAGTTCTGGTGGGCAGGCCAGGCCCTCTCTTTGACTTAAGGCCTTTACACAGGCCTTCACGCATGCTTTTCTTTTTGCCCCACTAACTCATCCATTAGGTCTCAGCCCACACACGATCTCTTCAAGGGAGCCCAGTTTGCCCCCCAGGTTGGGTCGGGTGGCTCCTCTGGGCCCACACAGCCCCTTGATTTTCCATCACAGTCCTAGTCATTATAGTCTATCTCATCAGTCCTACCACTCTGACCAGGCTTCACCCACGACAGCCCCGATTCCTCTGGCCAGTGATTTCCCCACCTCGGCCACAACCACTCTGGTCTGAGCCCCATGAAAGCTGGGATCTGTTCAGACAGTTGGCCACTAGCAGGGGCCCTGGATCGGAGTCCCTGCCCAACAAATAGTTGTCAAATAATTTCTGTAAACTTCATTTATGCCAATATGTATCAAGGGCTACGTGGTACACAGGATGGAAGTGTAGGTGAAAAACCATTACACAGCCACCCGACTGGGCTGAGGGAGTACCTAGTCTACTCTTTTGAATCATTCATTTCTTCTCCACTCCTCCCCTAAGACACCTGTGAACCCTATCTTCACTAGGGGCAAGGAGAGGATGGGGCTAGATGGTGGTTGTGCCAAGTAAATACTTTCTCTGAAAACACGAAGACTGTCATAGCAGAGCTGAACAGAGCTGTGCTTGGTGCTTTCTAGGCCCAGGGTTAAATAACATTACGGCAAGACCATGATAGTCTGGCAGAGGAAGAGGGGCACTGTCCTAGCCCATGCTCTGGGCGATCCTACTGGGAACACTAGGGCTGGGGATCACTTTCCTGAGTGGGCAGGATTTGCATCAAGCACGAATTCAAAGCTCTGCTTCTGACAGCCCTCTCAGGGAGGGGGAGGGGCCAAGGAAGGGATAGGGTGGGGAGGGTGGCAACCAGGAAAACATCCAAACTGGGGGGCTCATATGCTCTATTTGGCTGCAGCTGTCTCTGAACTCCACCCTGAGGAGGCTCAGGCCAGGCCTTGATCTGAGAGCCACAGAACTGAGTCAAAGCACTGAGAAGCTCAGAATCACAAAAGTCTGCTCCCAAAGGTCCAGTGGTTGGACTGTTCAGTGTGCAACGGGGAGACCTAGATGGTTATAAGCAGGGAGGGTGAACAAGTAAGACTGGGGTTTCAAATAGATCCCCTTGGCTGCCATATAAATGGTGAATCGAAGGAGAAGATTAGGCCAGGCTTCTAGGAGGTGACCAGCCAGGGAATAGCTTGTGGGGGAAGACAGCCAGGTTAAGGCTGTGAAAAGTCCCCAAGAACCCCCTCTTGGATTCTAACTCCTTTCTGTCACCTGTTCCCTGAGGGCTCTGGTCTCTGCCACTGCTCAAAGATTATTCATTTCAAGCCCTCAGTCTACCCTAGGAAAACTAGGGGCCGAGGATCTGCTCCAGGAATACAGGACAAATCAGGGCCAGTTAGTTACTTGGCTCCAAAGGCAGAACAAGGGCCTCTGGGACGCAGATGAGTATGGTACTGGTAGACAGTTCCAGAGAGAGATGGAGGCCAAAATAACTTTCCAAATATTGTTTACTTCACTTAAACCTAGAGACAAGGAAAAGGTATGTCAATATCTGAAACGCCAAGCCTAGGAGTGCACGTTGACAACGGCGACATACAAGGCCAGGGTGCTGAGGGCCAGCAGCCCTGTCACCACTGCTCGGGCCAGCAGTGCTGTCCAGCTGCCCAGAGAACAAAGGTGGACGAAGGTCCTGTGGGGAAACATCACAATGAGGGAAGGAGAACAGATAACCCACCCCCATTTGACCCAACCTTCAACCCTGCCCAGCTCACTCCATGACAAAGGCCTTATAAACGCTAAGGAACATCAGCAGGAGAACCGCTGGCCGGAAAGTGTGGTACAGGTCGTAGCGTGTTATCATCCACACCTGGGCAGATGCGACGATGTAATGAACCTGAAGGGAGGCAGGAAGTCAGGGCCAGGCCTTAGGGAGAAGTACCGCCACCAGCAAAAAAGACGTGTATGGGAGAGCAGGACTTGCGTACCAGACTGATGTTGGAGTCAATGCTCATCTGGATGTATTTCCAGTCAAACTCAATGCCTCGGGCTCCAACCCAGAGGGGGATGCAACTGAACAAGGCAAAGGGAGGTATTCTCCAGTACTCAGAAACCCTCGGCACCCAGAATCTGAGCCCCCACCCTCCAGAACCTCCCTGAAACCCAGGTGTCCTTTTTCAGGAATCTGGGTTCCAGGCTGCTGCACACACCGGGACATAATGAGCTCGGCTGTGGCCCAGCCCAGGGCAGCAACCATGATCTTGTACTCCCCTTTGCCGGCATTCCGGGACATGACAAGGTTTAGGCCTATCAGGTCCGCCACATCCACGCTGGCCTTCATGAACTCCTGTGGGTCAGGGTGAGGCTTCAGTAAGCACAGGAGCCAGGGCCCCCACTCCTGCATTCCCTCCCCTCCCTTGCCCCACTCACCCCAATGAAGTCATAGATGCCGCCTTCCCAGGTAGGAAAGAAAGTGGCCAGGAACAACATCTGAGAACAGAAAACAGAGAGGTCGCCTCAAGGTGAGGGGGATAAACTATGTAGGTTTTGTGGGAAGTTAGTGTGTACATGGAGGGTTGGACATTGGGGTTCTGGGGCCCATGTGGAGAGGGACCGTCAGATGGAGGCAATATTGCAGGACCAGGGGAGACAGAAGGAGCCGTAGGTTTTTCTATGGTAATCACAGGGTATCAGGGTCAGGCCTGGAGATGCACCGTATGGGGTTAGCGGCTCTTAATCATACAAAACTCCTCTGAACGATACAGATGAGTTTCTCTATTTTACTAAAAGTTGCCTGGAGACCTCTCCTCAGGTCCAAAGTCTGTGTTCTAGGGGTATTCCGGAGCATCCCTACGCGGGGTGCTGAGGACGGTCCCACACCAGGGGATCTGGGCGGGGCGGAGCCCTGGGTCTGGCGAGCCTGGGGGCCAGACCCACGGCTCCGGGCGCCCTCACCTTACACAGCTGCACGAAGAGGTAGGTGACCCCAGCCTGGACGCATTTCCAGAAGGCGTTGTATTCGGACCTGCAGGAGCGAGAGGTGAGGGCTCGCCCCGGCCCGCACCCCCCGCCCCGCGGCCGCCCCGCACTCACAGGCCGCTGCACTTGTAGGTGATGAAGTAGGGGAAGTAGGCCAGGGCGAAGCAATTCCCGAAATGAAACAAGGTCATGGCGCCAGTCCCGGGCCGCCAGAGCACGAGTCTCCGCTTAGCCCGCCCGGCGCCCAGGCCTGGCGCCCCTGCCTTGCCTCTGCCGCGGCCCGCGCGTCCTTCTGGGAGAGGAGTACGAGTCGCCGGCGCGCTGACGTCACGGGCTCCGCCGCGGCGCGCCGTGCGGCCACCGGAACCTGCGCCGGCCGGTACTCCCCCGGGAGTCACCGCGGAGCCGCGACGCTCGGCCCTGGGCGCGGGCTACCAGAGAAACAGGGGCGGGCCTAGAAAGCGGACTGACCCCGCCGTGACCGGCGCAGAGATACTGGGAGCAGCAGTGAGCACTCTGGCTTTTTATTTCGCTGGTGGCCCAGCGGCGCAGGGGGCACCTTTTGGGAGCCGAGGGCGGGAATGAGAAGTAGAGGTTCCGGCCCGGGGAGAACAGGGAAGCAGAGTAGGGGGTGTCCTGCTTCAGTTATCTCGGCTGAACATGTAGCTGAGAAGGTCCACCACCCGGTGACTGTAGCCGTATTCGTTGTCGTACCTGGGGAAGAGGAGAGGGAGTCGGAATCTCTCCTGTTCACAGTCGGTATTCTCCACCCCGATGTCTGATCCCTTCTCCCTTACCAGGAAATGAGCTTCACGAAATTGTCGTTGAGCGCGATGCCGGCTTTAGCATCGAAGATGGACGAGTGAGTATTGCTGATGAAATCCGTGGAGACAACCTGGGTGTCAGAATTTCGAAGATAGGTGTGGGTCGCAGAGCAAGGACCTCCAGCAGCTCTGACTTTGATTCTTAGGCTTATTGACTATCCATTCATCGACAGTATTTGATGGACCCCTACTGTGCCCAAGCTCTGGGGACTGGGTATGAGGAAGGCACATGGAGGCTTTGCTTGTGGGAAACTGGCCAAAGGACACAGACCGCAAACACTCAGGTGCCGCACCGATAAATATTATTTTCTGGGAATAATGCAAGCACTTGGAATGGCTGGTACAGAGGCCCATGAGGAGAGGTGTCGAGGCTGGGTCTGAATGACTAGGAGGGTCTGGCCAGCTTAGGTCCTCAACAGTATCTGAGGTGGAAGGAGTTATAGCACAGAGGCCCTGACTGTTTTGGCCTCCGTGTGATGGAAGGCCGTCAGCAGTGGGGAAGGTTATCAGCAGTGGGGGTGATGTGATCTGATTTTATTAAAACAAGAGGTCCTGGCAGCTGTGTGAGGGTGGACCTGCAGGAGCTAAAACAGGGAGGCAGCACCAGAGATGGTACTACTGGGAGCAAAGGGACATCCATTCCTCACAGGGAAGGCATCTGGCGTGGCCTGCCCTGAGCAAGTGTTGAAAAATGGGATATGTTGTCTTGTTCACTAAGCATGTAGTGAGCACCTGCTGTGTGACAGGCCCTGAGAAGACAGCTGAAGCTATAGAAGTGAAAAGATAGTCCCCAAATCCTTGCTTTCTTGGAGGACACATATTAGCAGGACCAATAGTGACTATGAAATGAAATCTCAGGTGGGAAAAAGGGCCACAAAAAGAATATCTTGCTGAGGAGGAAGGCTGAAGTAGAGACTTGGAGGAGGTAAGGACAGACTATATGGCCACCTGGGGGGAAAGCTTTCCACACCAAAGGAGCAGCAGGTGTGAAGATTCCGAGGCAGGGAGAGCTGACCTTCCCAGCCCTGCTGTTCCTATCTTGATACATTGCAAACAGCTCCTTGATAAGTGGAAAGTCATGCTCCCTCCCCAGAGGGCTCCTCCCAGGGTCCCCTCTCCTGAGCCCCTACCTCATCCTCAGTGTAGGCAAGGATACCAGCCATGCGCCCCTTGGCTTCTGCTTTTATAGCGTCCTTGATGGCCGAGTATGGAGTAGGCTGGGCCAGGCGACAGGTCAGGTCCACAACAGACACATCGGGGGTTGGCACCCGGAATGCCATTCCTGTCAGCTTCCTGGAGAATCCCACATTGGGGCGGGTGTCAGAACTCAATGACTTCTCCGTTCATCTCCCTTCACCTTTACTTTTCCCTCAATAGATGCCTCAAGGATTGGGGACCAGTCCAGTCCACCTGAGGTGTGCCCTCTACCTTGGTTGCAGCTTCCTGCCCTCATACCCTTTGAGTGCTGGGATGACTTTGCCCACAGCCTTGGCAGCCCCTGTGGAGGCTGGGATGATGTTCTGGTGGGCTCCCCGTCCATCTCTCCAGGCCTTGTTCGATGGCCCATCCACTGTCTTCTGGGTGGCAGTGTAGGAATGCACTGTGGTCTTGGAGAAGAAGGGGGCTTAAGAGCCTTCCTGCTCCTAAGCTCCCATGCCTCTTTTTCCCAGGTCTGTGGTGGTGAGCTAGGTGTGGAGGTTGGCAGGGCCACCACCACAGACCACAGGAGGGCACCTGCAGGCTAGGGTCCAGCCTTTCCTGAATGTTGCACAGTATTTTAAAAGACTTCATCACTGGTGGGCCTCTTCTCCCGAAAGCAGTCTCTTTCTGTTAACTCCACACACTAAGCATGTCCTGGGAGGAAGGGGTAGAGTTTCCCTGCCATCCATCCTGGCCCAGCCCTCTTCCCAACTCACCATCAGTCCTTCCACGATCCCGAATCGCTCATGGATGACCTTGGCGAGGGGGGCCAGGCAGTTGGTGGTGCAGGATGCATTGCTGAAACAGTCCACGTGCAAGGGCACTGTAAGGTGAGTTGCAGAGCCACCCCTCCACCTCACTTTGGGGGTGTTTTGTGAAAAGTCAGTATGGGGATGAGAGGGATCACTGGGGCTGCATTCAGACTGAAGGAGGCACCGGAGGTGCAGCTGGGGGAAGCTCCCCCAAGCATGTTGTCCAGAAGTCATGCGTGTCTAACACTTTTAGGGTGATATTAACATGACTGTTAAGACTTTGGGAAGGAGAAGCAGACTGATGTGAAAGAAGCATCAGGGAGGCTGGTGGGAGTGGGGGTGGGGTGGGTGAGTCTGATCCCTCCCCATCACAGGCTGGCATGTCCTCTGGGCATGACTTACATACTTCAGGATGTTGCTGCCCATTACCTGACAATCTTCATGGAGTCAGGGTTATAGTCCTTTTCGTTCACCCCCATGACAAATGTGGGTGCATCTGGTGAGGGAGCGCAGATGACCACACGAAGGGCACCTGCCTTGATGTGGTTCTGGGGAAGGAGGAAGGAGCACTGGTGTCGTGAATTCATGAGGTGCTTTGAGTGCCACCACCACCCCGCCCCCAGCCAGCCCTGGACACCTCTCCCACTTACGGAAGTTTCTTCTAATGACAGGAACACGCCTGTGGACTCCACCACAAAGGGGCTCCCGACAGACTTCCAGGGGATATCTCTGGGCTGCTTGCTGTGGAGGGGTGGCAGTGCTGTGTGTCAGTCTCCCTGCATGGCCTCGCCTTCATAGTCCATGGCCTTTACTGCTCAAAGGGCTGATCAGACACCTTCCCACCTGGCCTGTGACCATCTGTTCTCCCCACCCCACACATACCTAGCTGTCCCAGATGGATTCAACCCTGCTGGTCTTGCCTCACCCCAAATCCCTTTGCAGGCCACTTTTCTTGACTGCACCACCTGGGTATGTACAAGCTGCCACCTCCCCGACTCAGGCCTCACCTGCCCCCAGGGGACCGTCCCTGACTACTCCCAACCAGATTAGGCCCTTTCTACCTATGCTGCCTGGAATGTGGACCGTGGGAGGGCGAGGCTTCAGGTCCCTTGCTCTGGCAACCTCACCACAGCCCTCTTTGCCCCTCTTATATTTGCCACTCAGTTCCTGTTACCGGGAGCCAACTGCCAGGCAAGTCCCTGAAGACAGGTACTACATCCTGAGAGCAATGGGCGTGGTGGGGGTGTAACCAAAGCCTGAGACTGCCCTGGGGTCAGCGAGGGCTAGGGGATTACATCAGAAAAGTAAGGAGCTTTTCTGTTTCTTGTTTTATAAATTTACATTTTTAATTGATATTTTATCAAATGTTTGCACTTGAAACATATTAAACATCTATTGCTGTTTTCTACTTGGCTTGTATACCAGTCTTTTCCTTCACTGGGTTTATCACAGCTGCAGTATTTGCTTTTGTGATTATTTGTTAGTATCTGTCTCTTCTAGACCAGTGGTCCCCAACCTCTTTGGCACCAGGGACCAGTGCTCCCTTGAGAATCTCATGCCTGATCATATGAGGTGGAGCTGAGGTGGTGATGCTAGCGCTGGGGAGCGGCTGCAAATATAGATGAAGCTTTGTTCACTGGCCCGCTGCTCACTTGTTGTGTGGCCCAGTTCCTAACAGGCCACGGACCGGTGCCGGTCTGCGGCCCGGGGGACCCCTGTTCTAGACCACTCCTTGCAGCAGGGCTGGGTCTGTTTTCTTTGTCATTAAGCCTGATCACCCCAGAGGGGTTCAGTCAGTGTTTGTAGGAATATTTTTTATTAGCCATCCTACGTGTTTACTGAACACCTGCCATATGTCCATATTCGAAATGCTTTACCTGTACTGAACTCATTTAACTCTCACAACCTGAGGAGTAAGTACTGTTATTATTGGCATTCTTCAGAGAAGCCAGAGCAGAAGTGAAGGGGTAGGAGGCAGAGCTGGCCAAGAGTGCAGGCAGGCTGGCCCTAGGATCTGTACTGGCTGCATTGCCAGAGTGAATGAATGAAAGAATAAATGAATGAATGTACAAATGAATAAATGAATGACTTGCTTCCTCTCTTCTCCCTGGGCCACACACACGGTTCTTCTCTCTCCCTGGTCATCTGCTCTGTCAGGTCACCTTATCATCTGGCCTAACTAGCTCTTCTCTGAGGCCTCCCATTTCCTGCCTTCCAAGTTGGGCTCTTCAACAAATTCCTTTGCAATAATTGCTGAGTTGGCATGGGGCAAAGAGTTGGCAGCCCAGGAGGCCCTAGTCCATTATGGGTTTGCCTTCCTGTCCAGGGGCCTGTTTTGAGGTTTCCATTCATTCTTCAAGGAACTGCTGAGTCTACCCAGAGCCAAGGCCTGTGCCTACAGGTACCAAAGCAACAGCGTTGACGCAACTGACAGGGCCCTTCTTGCAAGGAGGCTGTCGCCTTGTGGGAAAATGCTATTCCCAGTGCTCCCCACAGACCTGTTAACTTCAGCTATGCTCCCCACTATGGCTGTGAGGGACATGGTGGTCATCCCTATCAGCTACATTAGGAAATAGGCTCAAGGAAGTTCAGTCCCTTGCCCAAGGTCACCTGACTAGGAAGGATGGAGTGGAGTAAAGTACACACAAAGCAAGATAACTTGTGCCGAGTGCCCAGTGAATGCCAACAGTGCAGTGACGGAGGGCAGAGGAGGGGGGGACAACTGCTGCAGTGACCTGACAAGGCAGTACCCGAGTGGGGGTGCACATTGAAGTGGTAGCTGTATGGGGACAGGGAAGAGGAGGGGAATGCTGTAAGTGCAGGAATAATGGTGCCCGGGCTGAGGAGAGACAGGACATGGTATGTCTGAGTAATGACTGCTGTGTTGGCATTGTTTCTGGTACGACTTTAAACTTAGGTCAAGCAGCTTCTCCCATTCTCACTGGTGTTCCAGTCCCTGCCTCCACCCCCCCCACCCCCACCCCCATCTTTGCACCCGACCCTGACCACCTCACCACAAGCCTTCCTTGCCCTTCTTTATTGTTTACCCTTCTCTACCAAATAAAAAGAGAGGGGCTGAGAGCGGACCTCATGGGAGGAGTGCTGGGAAGGCTTGTGAGCATACAAGAACAAGTGTAAAATTTGAGGCAGCCAGAGGACCAAGCAGTGGCTAGTAATTTTCATTAAAAGGATAAATTAGGTTTCTGTTTCCCATTTTATACTTTTTTAGTTTTTTGATATCTTGCAAATGTATTTGAAGTATGTTAAACGTCTAATATTATGGCTTTGACTTATAGATTCTAAACATCTTTAAATAAAGGAGGAGAGTTAATGTCAGTGAGGACTATGTGAAATGGGCACTAAGAAACATTGTCCAAATATAAGAGGTGCTGGATCAGAGTCCTGAGAGGTAGATGGCCAATGTGCTGAGGTGACATGGGAAGGGTGGGGGTGGGCACGCATAGTGCTTGTGAGGCCCCATCAGGAGCTGGGATTTTATTTATGGGGTGATGGAAGCCATTGGAGGGTTTAAGTAGGGGAGTAACTAGGTCCAGCTGATGTTTTAATAACCCTTTTCCTGTTTAGGAAAAAAAGTGTAGCTCTCTGCCAGTGTTAATTTAACATCATGCGTAGGAATGCTACGTTTTCTAGGATTTGACATTTTCAGCAATCGAGAATTACTGTATTTTGTAAGTGGCAGTGACACTACTAAAAAGAGAATGCTATAAATAGAAAGATGTTTGTTTCCAAAGATTATCAATATACTAGAGCGATGTGAAAATAATAACAAAAGCGAGATATTTCATGGCAAACTTTAGGGGTAAGGTTAGGACTGTAATCCACAAGTTATCTCGGGGTAAATGCTGCAGCTGCAAGCACCACCAGTGTGTATTCTCAGAGCAAACGGGAAATGGGTTAAAAAGGCCTCTATGGCTGCTGTGTAGGAACCTAGTGGAAGCTATTGGTTAGGTGGCGATGCCGTTTCCTGGGAAGGGAGATTTGGGGATTGAAGGAGAATCAAGAGTTGAGTTTTAGACATGTTGATATGCCTGTGAGAAGACATGCAAGTGAGTACCGTGGGGCATCTTTCCAGATTAGTGCTTCTAAAATGGGACTTCTCTAAGACCTCCCTCTCCAAACCAGTACCCAGAGGCATTTGCACACAGTCTGGGGTTATGAACTCTGTATGACAGGCTGGAATCCCATTCTCGTCATCTTTACGTCCCCTCCATTAATGTGTTGCAAGCATGCATTAGAAAGCTGCCCTTACCACTGGAAGATACTGATCTCCTGTTTATCCACGACCAGCCGTCCATTCTTGTATTCCACAGTCCCCTTGTATTGGCCATGGGTGGAGTCATACTTGAACAGGTACACCTGTGGCAAACAGCATAGCTCCAAGGCTTAGGGTGACGGGTGGGGGAGTGAGAATCCCTCAGGAGTCCCTGTCTTGGTGAAGGTTCCACATTGCAGCTGGGAGCCTTCCAGAGAACTCCCTGAACACCCTCCCCACCTCAGTCCTACCCTCTACCTGCTGCTCACCATGTATTCTGGGTCAATGAATGGATCGTTCACTGCTACCACCTTCACGCCCTTCTCCATACAGGCGCGCAGCACCAGGCGACCGATGCGTCCAAATCTGTTCAGGGACAGGGGGTGTGGGGTTGTCCTCAGAATCCTCAGCCAGCAGGCAGAGGAGAGAATGGGAGAGAAGTGGGTGACATGAGGGCCCTCAAGGAGACTGGGTGGGACTCAGTCTGGGGCAAGAAGGTAATCAGCCCTGTTGGGGGCCCCTACCATCTTGCCCAGATGACCTCATCAGCCGCTTAACTGAGTTTCCTGCTTCCTCATCCATCCATCCTCTTCCCCATTCCTAACCATGTAACTGGATGGATCTTGTAGAACTTCAGGTCACATTATGTCTTTTGGCCTAAAAACCTCCATGACCCTATCAGTAAAACCAGATCCAAACTCCTTACCGTGGCCTACCAAGCCCCTGCCCATTTTCCACCATACTCCCTCTTCTCCCTTGCTTGCTCTGCACCAGCCACACTGACTTCCTGCCTGTCCTTTGCACACTAAGCTGACACTTCTGCCCCAGGGCCATTGCTTGCTGCACAGCTGGCCTTCCCTGACACCTCAACTAACACTGCCCTCTCCAGTCTTACTATACTTCATACTGTTCATAACATATCACCAGACTGTCATGTTCCTTATTTGACGATTGTGTTCCTACCAGAATGTAAGCTGAAGGCGGAGACCTGTCCACCTTTGCAGGTGTTTCTTCAAGGTGGACAGAATGAAAACGCTGATGGCAAGAAATGTGGAGACACCCCGTTCAGTGATTGGAGGAAAGGCTGGGCCCTAAGACTTCAAGAAGGGCCCAGGCGCTGGGGCTGACTTACCCACTGATGCCCACAGTCAGTTCCCGAACCACGGTAGGTTTTGGTGGAGGTGGAGGTGGAGGTGGAGGAGGAGGTGGCACTTCCTCTTTGATAGGCTGAGGCTGAGGTTGGGGCTCGGGCTCAGGCTCGGGCTGGGGCTCGGGCTCGGGCTGGGGCTCAGGCTCCCGTGGGGGTGGTGCTCTGGTTACTGTGGGGAGAGAGAACAAAAGCATCCTCAGTGAGGGCGGCAATGAACGCACCATCCAGTGAGAGAGGATGAACCATCTGTGCCACCAGAAACCATCGTTGCTAGCTTCTGACCCCTGGTGGCCAACCATCTAGCCCATTGTTTCCCAAACATACCTGATCCACAGAATGAGCAGGGGGTGGGTTTGCTTTAAAATATCAATGCCAGGGCCCCTTCCCTGGAGATTTGAATTCAGTGGGTACTGTGTATTTTTAACAATCGCTTGGGGTGATATGCTCTGTACCTCAATTTCCTCTGTAAAATGGAGATAATAGTAGTACTTCTCTCGGAGGGTACTTTAAATGAGAGTTAAATGAGGTAATACGTGTAGTGCTTATCACAAGAATCTGGGAACATTACACATACATTAGTATTTCAAAGATCTTTTCCTGAATTGTCTGATAATTGACATAGCCCAGTGGTCCCCAAACTGTTCTGATAAGCATCACAGAGAGGCCTCTCCTAGGGAAGTCTGACTCAGTAGGTCCTTACTGAGGCCCAAGGATCCTGTTTCTAACAAGCATTCCAAGTGATTCTTATCCTCAGAGTAGTTTAGGAAATATGTATCATAATATGAAACAAATGGAGACCTCGTCAGCTTCCACCTCTCCAAACACACACTTCCACTCCCATACTGTATTTTAAAACACCTGTGCTTGGAGGTGTGCTACCTGAGCTGCAGATGAGGGCTTGAGGAGAGGGGAGACGTGGTGGAGACAGCAGTTAGGGATCCTGCCTGGTAGAGGGTTTCATGGTGGGGATCAGGCTTTGACATCAGTCCTGGCTCAGCCACCTGCCAGCTAGCTGTGTGGCCTTGGGCAAGTTAATGAACCTCTCTGGCTTATTTCCTATCATCTCATCTGACCCTTCATCTGGGGCTTCTATGAAGACTCGGTAAGATCTCAAGGCCCAGTAAGTGCTGATTTTAATAGAGGAAAAGAAGTCTGATACCAAGTATTCATAAAAAAAAAAGGAGAGAGAAATGATCAGAGAGGCTGGAGGATGAAGGTGGGAGTTGTGTTTGGTACCAGAATCAAAAGCACCTGGGAGGTGGTGGGGCTAAGAGCCAGGCCCTAGCTGTTGTCACCGTGACCTCTCTGGGTTGCCACAGACCTTGTGGCCTGAGGCTGGACTGTGGGTGTTTCCGGTAGCAATATAAGTTCATAAATGTATTAATGTTTACTGGTGGCAGAGACCTTATAGTTGTTGGTGACTTTAAGGATATTTGCATTCCTTGAGGTTCTGTTTCTGCTATCAGGAAAGGGAGAGCTGTCCACTTGGCTTAAGAGTGGGGATCAGAGCGCACTCCGCGACCTTTCAAAAGAAAACTCAGGTGGTCCTCTCCCAACTTCCCCCAGCCTTCTCCTCTCCTGCTCTCTACTCTAGCGAGGGAAGGGGTGGTGGGGGCGGGGGGAGGCGTTAGGGAGGATGGGAGTGGGTGGTATATGGGCTGGAGGAAAGCTTCTGCGCCGGGAATGATGAGTCTGGAGGAGCTTCAGCAATGAAGCATCATTCTCTCCCTATTAAAATGACACTCTCATTTCCTGGGTTCCACCGTGGACTAGGTACTGTGCTGGACTCCACGTGCATCACCCCACAGAATTCAGCTAGGCGTGCTCTACAAAACCATTTTACAGAGGGAAAACCGAGGCCCAAGGCGACAAGAGCGAGTGACGAGCAGGGAGGAGGTTCAGGGCCCATAGCCCTTATCGTGTCTGCTGCTGCATCTTGCAGGGGTCTGGGGACCCTGGAGCCAGGCCTAAGTCTCGCTTCACTCCGGCCACGCCCGCCCCACGAGGGGCGGAGCTTCCCGGCTGCCAGGGTCTGCAGTCTGTGAGGATGGCACCAGGGAATGGGAGTTGCCCTTACCGAAGACCTGGGTTCGATCTGAGTTTGTCGGGTTAAATGTGTGTGTGTACCTCTGGCTGGGTGAGGTAGGGCTGCCTAGTGCCTGCGAGCAAGCACTCCGAATACTAACTCTACTACTTTGGTGTGAGAGACCTAGGAAAGGGGTTTGCGCTCTATGAAATGGGGACAATAAACCCCTGGCCTCACCAGGTGGTTGTGAGGTTTCAGTGAGCGCACGGCTCTGGCAGGTTGCTAGTGTCCTTGCTTCGTGTAATACGGAGGCGGCGGTGGGGGTGTGGGGAGGCGGCAAAGCCCACCAACCCCCAAACGGCCCTTCGGCGCTGATCGACAGGAGCGTCAATTTTCTGTGAAACCCGTCTCGTCGAGTTCCTCAACCACCAGCGGCTGTCCTCAGAGACAGCGTAAATCCAGCCCCTGCTTCTCCCCTTCCACCTCGTGCGAGTGGCGCACCCTCAGGGCGGGGGTTCTCGTGCCCTCCACCGTCGCCACAGAAACCACTTTGCCAGCAAACTCGGGGGGCTGACGGGGCTGGGGTTAGAGGGAGGGAGGGAAGGAAGCGGCTCCGGATGGAAGAGCCGCGCCCGCCAGCGGCAGCCCTTCCCTTGCCTCCTGTCCCATCCCTTGCGGGGACGCTCTCGGAAGGGGGCTCTGACCCGGCGATCCCTGCTCCTCGACTGCCCTCACTTGCCCTCCCCGGGGGCGTTTCGGCGTTTTCCTCACCCGGGCATGGCTGTCGCAGCAGCTGGACAACGGTGACATTGGTGAGGACGATGTCGCGTTTCGACATGCTTCCTAAAGTTTCATGGCCTAGCTGCACCAGGACCCACCGCGATGTTACTGCGACGTGGGGCACAGGCAACCTGCCGGGACGGTACAGTGCCCAGTGATGTCACAGTGCTCAGTGATGTCACAGAGGTGGTGGCATGAAGGCCCAGTCCCATTCGTGACGTGTGCTCTTTGCATGCTGAGCACTACTGTTCCAAGGCCACCGCTGGCGTCCAGAATGGCATCCAGTTTTTTATACTGGCCCTCAAAGCCCTTTTCTCTCTCCTCTCTCTCCTTTGGCACACTGGCTCGCTGCTGTTCCTTGACACCCCCCTCCCCCATGGTTACCCTAGCTGTTCCCTGATGCCTGGAAGCCCTGCCCCGTCCATCCCTTGGCTGGTTGCCTCTTGGTTTCCCTCAGGTGCCACCCTTTAAGAGAGGCCCTCCTGATTCCCCATCTGCAGTTCTCCCCTTTCTCAGCCATGATCTGCCATCACACTCCGCTCCCTGCAACATACCCACTTTCCAAGAGGCTTTGTCTGACTTCCTGGCTTAGATGTTCCATTGTGCAAAACTGCCTCAGGGTTACACTCTATTATTTTTATTTTCTTCACAGCATATGTCTCTCTCTAAAAAATCATCTTGTTTATTCATTTGTTTTCTTACCAATTGTTCTACCCACTAGCCCAAGCTCTGGGAGGGCAGAGTGCTTGTTTACCTCATCAATTTTATATTCTGTTGACTAAAAGAATGTTTAGGGTGCCCACTCAATAAATAATACCAGAATGAATAAATAAATGTAACCTCCAGGTTTCTTTGATCCCTAGTCTTAAAGCAACCTCCAAGCCATATCCTCACAGTACCCCAATTCTTTTCCTTGTGGCTTTTCTTGTAGTTTGTCATGATCTAGATATTGATATGCTATTCACTGTCTCCCCCATAGGGCATGTGTTCTTGTCTATTTTGTTCACCACTGGGCCTCCAACAGCTAGAACTGTGCCTGGCACAAAGCAGGGTTCCATAAACATTTGGCGAAGAACAAAGGACAGATGGCTCCCTTCCTCTCAAGCACTGGGGTGGGGGCTTGCACAACTGTGACTCACAGGCAGGCACCTTCACCTGCAGAGCCAGTCGACACAGCTCTGATCAAGATTTAGGGGTGTGCGGGTTTGGGCCAGGAAGGAGTCACCATCCCATAGAGAGGTGTGGAGGCAAGAAGGGGCAGAATGACATAACCTCTTCCTTCCCCAAACCTCTGTGGGAACTCAGTTTGCTAAGCACCTGCCACGGGACAAGGTGAGGGGTGAGGCCTTCCTGCTTGGATGTCCCAGGAGAGGTGGAACTGAAAATAAGTTGGGTGTATGGATAGGGAGATTTCTAGAACCAACACCAAAAAGAGATAGTAAACAAAGGACAAACTTAACATGTATGATCAAAGGGGTAAAAAAGACCACACAAAACCAGGATTGAAAAGGGACCGATTTTGTATATCTTTAAAATAATCAGTATGAAAAGCTCGAAGCAATTAAAATATTTCTTAGAAAATATAAAGGATCAAAACTAGTACGAAAAGAAATGGCAAATCTGAGTAGGCCAATAACAAGAGAAGAGACAAAGAGTTAAGATCTGTCCTCCCGAAGGCTGATTCAGATCCTGGTGATTTTATGGCAAGATCGGCCAAAGCATCAGCCTAACAAATATTTGCCAACCTATAGGCAGTGTTGCGAGTACTAACCCAAGCTGGGAAGCCCATGGCAGCTCCTTTGCAGGGAGGCTTCGGTCAGGATGCATGTTTGGAGGCACCACGGGTTGGCAGGCACACTGTGTGTACTTTTGGGGGAGCTGGGACAGCTCAGTGACTGAAACCACCTCCACTTGCTCTAGGAAAGCAGCACAGCCACATTACCAAGACCAGCAGAGGGTGGCAAAGAAAGAACAACTCCAGGTCAGTCTCACAGAGACAGATACCTAAGTCTGCAATCAAATAGTGGCCAGTGTTTGGAATGGAGCACTGAGGAGAAGGATTGGGGCTGACAGAAGATGGTAGGATGGGGCAGAGAGAGGGGTGGAAAGAGAAATGGAGAAACCCCCACCTTGTCAATCTTGGGGCAAATTAGGATTTTGGACCTCCCCACCCAGCAATCTCCTGGCATGGGAAACACCCTCATTTAGGCACTGGACAGGGCAGAAAAGCCACACCCGAGATTGCCCAGGGACTTGGCTTTGTCCCTGGAGCATGAAACTGGGAAACAGATTTGATGAGCTCAATCGTGGAGAGGTGGCACAATTAATCACCCTCTATTGGTAGAGCCCAGAGAAGGCAGAAGCTCCTGGGCCTCTAGGTCTGGGATGCCTGGTTCTAGGTGGATCCAACTGTTCAGGATCTGGGGTGGAACCCTGGGTCCTTCAAGGGCAGTGGGCCTTGTTGCCCTTGTTTGAACAAAGCCTGAAAACACGTGCAGATTCTCACCACACCTGGGCACCCACACACATAACTCTGCCACCCCCGCTTGCTCACACCCTACACATTCCTTCCTGCCTGGCCTTCCCACTAGCAATCCCACCTCCACCCCTCTCTCAGTCTCTCCCCTTGGCACCAAAACCCAAATATCTTTCACCCCTGCACCCAGCTGTACCCACCCATTAGCTCTCATCCTTCTGGTCTCCACCTCCCCCTAAACTAGCTCCAGAAAGATAGTCTGCCACAGATTTACCAACCACCACCTGCCCTTTCTTCCGATGCCCCTCTTTACACCTAGGCCAAACTCTCAGCTGTTTCCCCCTCCAATTCATGCCACCATGTCAACACCTGGGGCTTCAGGTTATGACTTAAGCATCTCCAGGGGGAGGAGGGCAGGAAGAATGAGCTTCTGGCCCCCAGCCCAGGTTTTGGCTGACAGTCTCCTGCTCTCCTGGGTCTTCAGCCCCTCCCCATGGCTGCCTGAACCGGCTTTTCAGGTGACACTGCGTCCTGTCCCAGCTCATGGCAATCAGCCCCCTGCCCTTGCCCAAGGGCTGGGAGGTAGGAAACCAGGGTTCTGTGATGAGAATGTGATCCTTGCTCCAAAATCTCCAACCCTCCCCAAGAGACCCTAGGTTCGAGCTCTGGGGACCCAGGCACCCTTTCCCCCAGCACCCTCTGAGACTCAGGCCTAGCCTGTCTTCTCTTGGCTTCTTCTAATCCATCCATTTGTTCAATCTATAAATATTTACTGAACCCCAGGCAATGTTCTAGAAGTTGAGGATGTAGCAGTAACCAACACAAAGGCTGTGTCCTCTGGAAGTTTATAATATGATAAGTGAGAAAGGCAATAAAAAAGATAATTTTGGATTGTGGTAAGTGCTATAAAAATCAAAGGAAGATATTCCACAGTGTAACTGGGGGATGGCCAGGGAAGGTTTTTTGAGAAGTTTTTGAGCCAAAAACAGAATGAGGAGGAACCCGCCACCTGAAGATCTGAGTTCTGCATTCCAGACAGAACAGCGAGTGCAAAGGCCATGAAGCAGGGATGAGCTTGGTGTGTTTAAGGACGAGGGTGAAGTCCTGTGTGGCTGGAGCATAGTAAGTGTGTGTTGGGGGGATTAAAAAAGATCAATAAGAACAAGGTCTGATGACTCTGTCAACTTCCCAGGAGTGCTCCCCTCCTCCTGACTATACCTCCCATCTTTCTAGAATCTCAGTGCTGGGGAAGCTAGATCCTTAGATCCCCTGAGAGGAGTGAAGATGCTGGGGAACCAGGAATGGGGGTGATTGAAGGTGGGGTTGGGAGAAAGGAGGCCCGGCTAGTGGGTGAGGAATGAAAAGAGGAGGTGGTTGAAAGGGCAGATATCTGGGCTCTAGGGTGGAGGGCCCGAGCTGGGCAAGGAGCAAAGATGCCATGTGAGTGTTCTCCATTCATGACTCATCCTCTCTTCCTCCTCTTCATTGCTCAATCCCAAATCTCCCTGGGAAATACCTACCTGACTGGAGACCAAGTCAGTGCCTCGCAGGGGTAATTGAGTCATGAGGGGTGGAGAAGAGGGAGGGAGACAGAGGATAAATAGCAGCTTTGCTTCACTGGCTCCTCTCTGCAGCCTCCCCACCCTCCCAACAATATGCATCTTGCCAATTTGGTCAGCTCCTGCTCCCTCCTACTGCTACTGGGGGCCCTGCCTGGATGGGCAGCCAATGACGACCCCCTTGCGAAGGTCATTGAAGGAATCAACCGAGGGCTAAGTACTGCAGAGAGAGAAGTGGGCAAGGCCCTGGAAGGCATCAATAACGGAATCACTCAAGCCGGAAGGGAAGTGGAAAAAGTTTTTAATGGACTTAGCCACATGGGGAGCAGTGCCGGCAAGGAGGTGGACAAGGGCATCAACCACGGCTTGGACAAGGTAGCCCATGGGATCAACAATGGCATCGGACAAGCAGGAAAGGAAGCAGAGAAGTTTATCCATGGGGCCAACAATGCTGCTGGACAGGTTGGGAAGGAGGCAGACAAAGTGATTCACGGGGTCCATCATGGGGCCAGCCAGGTGGGCAGTGAGGCAGGAAGGTTTGGCCAGGGAACCCACCATGCCGCTGGGCAGGCTGGGAATGAGGCAGGAAGGTTTGGCCAGGGGATCCACCATGCCGCTGGGCAGGCTGGGAATGAGGCAGGAAGGTTTGGCCAGGGGATCCACCATGCCGCTGGGCAGGCTGGGAATGAGGCAGAGAAGTTTGGCCATGGGGTTCACCATGGAATAAATGAGGCCTGGAAGGAGGCAGAGAAGTTTGGTCAGGGGGCCCACCATGCCGCTGGGCAGGCCGGGAATGAGGCCGGGAGGTTTGGCCAGGGTGTCCACCATGCCGCTGGGCAGGCTGGGAATGAGGCCGGGAGGTTTGGCCAGGGGGTCCATCATGCTGCTGGGCAGGCTGGGAATGAGGCTGGGAGGTTTGGTCAGGGGGCCCACCATGCCGCTGGGCAGGCTGGGAATGAGGCAGAGAAGTTTGGCCAGGGGGTTCACCATGGAATAAATGAGGCTGGGAAGGAGGCAGAGAAGTTTGGCCAGGGGGTTCACCATGGAATAAATGAGGCTGGGAAGGAGGCAGAGAAGTTTGGCCAGGGGGTTCACCATGGAATAAATGAGGCTGGGAAGGAGGCAGAGAAGTTTGGCCAGGGGGTTCACCATGGAATAAATGAGGCTGGGAAGGAGGCAGAGAAGTTTGGTCAGGGGGCCCACCATGCTGCTGGGCATGCTGGGAAAGAAGGAGACAAAATAGTCCAAGGTGTGCATCCTGGGGTCAACCAGGCTGGGTCAGGAGTGGAACGGTTTGGCCAGGACGTTCATTATGCTGCAGGGCAGGCTGGGAAAGAGGGAGACAAAATAGTCCAAGGTGTGCATCCTGGGGTCAACCAGGCTGGGTCAGGAGTGGAACGGTTTGGCCAGGACGTTCATTATGCTGCAGGGCAGGCTGGGAAAGAGGGAGACAAAATAGTCCAAGGTGTGCATCCTGGGGTCAACCAGGCTGGGTCAGGAGTGGAACGGTTTGGCCAGGACGTTCATTATGCTGCTGGGCAGGCTGGGAAAGAGGGAGACAAAATAGTCCAAGGTGTGCATCCTGGGGTCAACCAGGCTGGGTCAGGAGTGGAACGGTTTGGCCAGGACGTTCATTATGCTGCAGGGCAGGCTGGGAAAGAGGGAGACAAAATAGTCCAAGGTGTGCATCCTGGGGTCAACCAAGCTGGGAAGGAGGTGGAGCGCTTTGGCCAGGGAGTTCATCATGATGTTGAACAGGCTGGAAAGGAAGCAGACAAAGTGGTCCAAGGGGTCTACGATGGGGTCAACCAGGCCGGGAAGGAGGCAGAGAAATTTGGCCAAGGGGTCAACCACGCTGCTGGCCAGGCTGGAAAAGAAGCGGAGAAACTTGGCCAAGGTGTCCACCATGCTGCTGGCCAGGCCGGAAAAGAGGTGGACAGGTTGCAGCAGAATGTTCATAATGGGGTCGACCAAGCCAGCAAGGAGGCCAACCAGCTGCTGAATGTAGGTGAACAGGGGTGGGGAAATGGGAAGAAGGGGGCTAGGGGGAGGGGGAGGGAAAGGTTAAACCCTTGGGACACTTGGGTAGCCCAGGCAGCTTTCATGTGGTGAAAGAAGCTTGGGTGGCTATATAACCGTGTCCTCCTCCTTCCTTAGAAAGGAGCTGGTGGTCATCTGGTCAGATGGATCAAGCCCTCTGATCCTTAGAGCCCTATACCAGGCCCCAACTTCAGGGAGTTGCCCTTCTAGTTAAGGAGATCTAGAGGGAGGAACATGAAGCCTCTCCCGGGGAACAGGAAACAGTTACTGAGCCAAGATCTGTTATGGTTGGAGGAGAAAAAGTGTTGAGAAATTGCAGAGCATCAGACTGAGCTTGAGGAATAGCTTTGGAGATAAGCCTTTTTCTGTTTAATTTTTGAAATGAGGTAGTCAGGGGTGAAGACTTTAACTCCTTGATTTTCAGTTAAGGAAACCAAAGCTAAGTGAGATTTAAGGGGGTTTGCCAAGGTCATGTGGCTGGCACACAGCTTTGACAAATCACAGGTCAGGGTTCTTTCTTTCTCTCCTCACTGCCCATCAGAGCAGGTCTCCTGGAGGATTTCTGATCCCCATTCATGTAGAGGGAACAGATACTGGAAGGAAGGAGAGACTAGCAGCTCTATGCACAATAGAACAGGCACCAAGGTGGAGACTTGGGGAATAAGAGAAGGCTAACCCTGCCTACCTCAATTTCCCGCTTCCCAATCTCCAGGAGGAGTCTTTGGGACACCATCTTGAAGACTGGCCCAGGCCTCAAAGCCCAGAGCCACACTGGCTGCCAGGCAGGGAGCCAAGGATGGGGCGTAGGGGAAGGGACTGCGTAGAAGGGGCGTGTGGTAGGGGAAAAGGCTCTGTGTCCAATGGCAGGATTCACTAGGTAGAGGCCAGAAGAGGGAGGTTTGTTATGGGTTTTGAGGCTGGCAGCATCACTGGGGAGGCACTGCTGAGTTTCTGGGGATAGGATTAAAGACAGAGAGCAACCCAAGTCAGGGATCAGGCACCAGTGTGTGTAGAAGGGGTAGATTTGAGGTCAGGGCTAAGGTTAACTCTGGTCCTGGTATTTGTGTGGGTCCTTTGGGCTCCGTTTCCAGTCCGGCCCCTTCTCAGTGACTGAGGACATCTCATTAAAGTAAAAGGGATCCGGGGGGAAGACGAGTCAGTAGGCACAGATCCTTCTTGGCTTTTCTTTCCATCTCCCACAGAATTCCCGCGGCCACATGGCTGTGGGCTTTTCTTTGCAGGCAGTGAGGCGAAAGGTGGTTAGTCACCTTAGAGGACATCAGGTCACTGGGGAAAAGGAACTTGGGGGACCCTCAAAGACTGAGGGCTTGTGATGACGGTCTGGGCTTCGTCCACAGGGCGGTCATCCAGGCGGATCCACCAGCCATCACGGAGGGGGCGCAACCACAACATTAACATCTGGAGTAAGTCTCCCTAACACAGCATGGACTCGGAGTTGGGGGAGTGCAGGCCCTCCTAGGATTCAGGTGGGACGGATGTTGGGGACTAACCTTCTTGTCCTTAAATTCCAGGCTTCAGTCAACAAGCCCTTCATCAACTTTTCAGCTCTGTGGAGGGTGAGTTGCCCACATGGTTTCAGATTTCTGCTCTCTATCCTGGGAGATAGTTGTACACCCCCGTTCCCATGGCCTGTTCATAGACAGCTTCACTGGTCAGACTCTCAGCCTTTCAGAGACTGTCCAGAGCTGTTTGCCAGCTCTGCTCTTCCCTTTTTTCACTTGCTCTTTGCCCTTTGCATCCCATTTTTCATCTTTTGGGTGCTTTCCATTCCCACTGAGGCAGAAAAGACCTCCAGGGACACGTGTGCATCTGGGAATGGAGGAGGGAGGTGCTGTTGAGACCATCTCCTTCATGTGTCCACTATCTCTCACCATCTCCCCTCTGACTCCCTGCCTCAACCCACTGTGCACAACCCGCCGCCCAGCCCCTGCTGCCTTGCAGCAATATGCTGAGTGGTGGAAACCGGTAGCTCTGTCCTTTTCCTGGTTGGCAAACTCCCCACCCCTAGTATAAAGGCTCCTGTGGGATCCTGATCCTCATTCTGGGCCTCAAGTCCTAGCTCTACTCTTTTCATCAAGTATCTCAGCCGCCTGAGGCTGGGGCAGTTGGATGAAGGGATGTAATGGTTCTGTAGACTGTGCCTAGAACCCAAAGACATACCTTGTTTATTCCCAGGCTATGGGGATGGCAGGGAATCCTCTGAGGCAAAGCAGGCAAGACTTTTTGGTTCCTACAGAGGCATCTCTGCCTGGGAGGGCTGGCTCCCTATTCTTCCTCAATCTAGGTGCCACCTTCCTTAAGATATTCCCTAGAACATAGGTAATTCCTGGGCCAGAGTAGCCAGTGTCCCTCTCATTTCTCTAGTGGATGTGAAGGAAGAGGTCTTGGTCCCCTCACAACTGCACACCCTGCATTTACTCACAGTTTCCTTCTTTCTTCCAGAGCATCGCCAACATCATTCCCTAAACTGATGCACTAGACTTGCCAAGCAGACTGGTAGTCCTGTTGTCATATCAGCTGAAATGACCTGGAGGAGCTGGGGGTGGGGGGAGAATTTCGGGAGTCCCTTAATGGAACTGTACTGAGATTTGTGAATAAATACAAGACACTGTACTTTCATCATGGTCCACGTGCTCCCTAAGGAAGGATTGAAGTGGGGAGGCTTGTCTTTTCTTGCTCCTTCACTGAGGAATTGGGGAGAGGGGGTGGTCTGTTGCATGGAATGGGTTGAGGTGGAGATTTCAGGCCAATCACATCTAAGACAGGGGCAAGCCATCCTTCACTAATGTGCAAAGTTCGTGCTAGGCACCGGGAGGAGCATCATGGAAGAAAAGCGGTTTCAGGCCAGGTGTGAGGGCAGAAGCACCAGGGAAGAGATGGCAGGAACCTAGGGGGAGCCCAAGGGGACAGCATCCTCATTCGGGGGATATGGTACCAAAGGAATAATAATGATCACTTGGGTTTGTTGTGCAAGGAGCCCTGCCCAGTGCTTTACATGTATGACATCACTGAAGTCTCCCAACCATCCAGTTAGGAAAGAATGATTATTCTTCTGTTATTGCACATTTTATAGAGAAGCATGTGGAGGCTCATGCGAGTTAAGACACGTGACCAAGGTTACACAGTCAGTAAGTGCAAGGAGAAACAGCCTAAGAGCTACAAGGAGTATTCTGAAAACACGGAGATCTTTTCCCATTCGGCATCAACAGGGGTAGGGTGTCAGTGAATAAGGAGAGGAAAGGTACATGTGGGAGATCCTCTCAAAGGGAGAAGGACCAACGGCTGAGGGAGAAGGCACACTGATGACAAGAGGAGGGCGTCTCTACAATGACAGGAATGGTGACCCAGAAGGCCCAGTTTTCAATCTGCGGATGACTCAAAGCCCAGAAGAATCATGTTAGCAACTACTACATACTGAGTACTTACTGGGTTCCAGATCGTGTGTGAAGGGCTGTTCATGCTCTGTAACCATTTAAGCCTCCCCTAACCCAAAGGTAGAAATCCTCTTATGATTGCCAATGTATGAATGAGGAAACTGAGGCTCAGAGGGGCCAGGGTACTTGCCCAGGATAACCCATGAGAATGCAGGCCTTTCTATTGCCAGAACCTGACCTTTCACAGCTACCTGTAAAGTCTCTAGAGCACATGTACCAAGGTACCAAGCGCTGGCCTTGGGAGACCTGCATTCCAATCAGGGCTCTGTGCCTGTAGGCAGCTTACTTCCCCTGAAGGGGCCACAATTTCCTCCTACATAAAGCATGGGCAGGTGTCTGCAGTAGAGGACTACAAACATGGCTTCCAGCTCCAAAATGCCATCAATTGTGGGACCAAAAATAAAGAGACTATTATTGCCCTTGGAGGAATTTACAGGCTTCCTGAGGAGACAAAGCATATAAATAGAATATGAAAACAAAACAGCAATGCATCAGTAAGAACTAAATGACACACCAAGGAGAGGAGGGGCCTGAATGTACATGATAAAGGTAATGTTCCTGACACTTTATATTCATTGCATTTTCCTCGTTTGTAGATTACCATCATTTTTACCACATTTGTTCTTTCTATCTCCTTGCAATATTTTATTTTGAAACTATTTCAAACTTACCACAAAGATGAAAGAATTTCAGAGTGGATCCTTGCATATCCAACACTTAGATTCTGCCACTAACTTGCTTTTTCACACATCTGTACACTACACATCTATCCATCTAGCCACGTATAAATACATTATCGATGCATTTCAAAGTAAATTGCAGACACTTGTTTCCTGCATTTTAATAAATAGAAGCATTCATTCATAGCATGAATTATTGAGGGTCTATCTGCTGGACATCATTTCATATGGACTGGAGAAGTACCTTCTAAAAAGGGAATATTCAAGGAAATCATTCTTTCATAAAGTAAAAGCTTTCACTGATTTTATTTGCATGCACATTTTCTTGCTGGGTTTGTTTGCCAGAGGTATGGGAAAAATCAATATGTACTAGGGGTCAATCATGAGAGGCTTCTGGAAAAGACGTAGTCGTTTCTGAAAAGTAAAAGAGGCATAGCTCACTCTTGCCTCGGGGCCTTGCGTGCAGTTTCCTCTGCTAAGAATATTCTCTATGCTCCCCACTTTTTCATTAAAGTATAGTTGACCATTTACAACAACATGGATGGACCTAGAGGGTATCAGGCTAAGTAAAATAAGTCAGACAGAGAAAGACAAGTAATTCCATATAACTTCACTATAATATGTGGAATCTAAAAAGCTAAACAAACAAACAAGCAAAACAGAAACATGCATAGATACAGAGAACAACCTGATGGTTGCCAGCGGGGAGGGGGTGGAGGATAGGAGAAAAAGGTGAAGGGGAATGAAGATATAAACCTCCATGTCCCTCTCGTCCCCCACATTGCCTCCTCCCTACCCTTCGGGTCTCAGTTACCTTAACCACGCAATCCAAACAAAGGGCCACCTTTGTTATTTTTTCTCATGGCACTGATTTTTTCTTCACAGTGCTTATGAGAATTTGTACTCCTACATTTACTTGTTTCATATCTATTTCCCCCCTAGACTACGAGGTTCGAGAGGAGAGGCACAAATGGCCCGCAACTAGTAGAGAGAAGGCTACTGGCTTGAGCAGACTTGGGAAAGGCCTTGGAGTAAGTGTGAGCAAAGAGGAACCTGAGACAGATAGGTGGAGCCAGGCTAGGGAGTAACAAAGACGGGAGGGGCCAGTTTCTGCAAATGTGGAAGAACAGGGAGAGGAGTTTGGGCGGGACCCTCACAGCCATCTTTATTGGGTGCTTACTATGTCTGTGCTAAGCACTTACAGACATGATTCATTCCATCCTCAGGATCTCCCCAGAGGCAGGTACCATGATTATCCCCCTTACAGATGAAGAAGTTGAGGCTCAGAGAAGGGAGAGAGTTGCCTGAAGCCACCCAGCTAGTAAGTGGTGATGGCTTGGCTTTATTCGAGAGCACTTCCCTACAGGTGATCTCTGCTGGTGACATGGCCTGTTTCCCTGGGACCCTTGGGGAGTGGGCCGCTTCAAAATAAGTCATATTTAAAAATACATTTCTCAAACAGAGACTCATGGACATGGTTAGATCACAGAGGGTAGAGGGTGGGGGGAGGGGGGAGGTAGACCGGGTAAAGGGGGTCAAATATGTGGTGACAGAAAGAAATCTAACTATGAGAGGTGAACACCCAGTGTAAATATCTATATGCCTTACTGTTAAAGTGTGTAGCTGAAATTTATTGGATTTTGTTAACCAGTATCACCATAAACAATTAATTAATTAATTAAAAAAATAAAAATAAGTCTCTGCATTTGGCCCTTTCAAGAAGTGCGTGCATGTGTCTCAAAATTAGACAACTGCAGAAAAAACATTCCAACAACATTAACATGAACAACACTAGGAAGAACCTATAATGAGTGCACCTTTATGCCAGTCACTGCTCTAAGTTCTGCATTATTACCTCATTTAATCCTCACATTCATCCCTCTTACAGGCAAGGAAACTGTTGTACAGATGGGTTAAGATCACGGCTAGTAAGTGGTGGAGCTAAGATTTCACCCTAGACTCTGGGATAAACACTGTGGATGGTATGAGCCAGTCGATGTCAATTTGAGGCCCCATAGGAGGGAGCAGAGACACTGCCCGGACCCAAGGCCTCATCTCCTCTCTATACTTGGTCCAGCCTCCATCCCCAATTCCTGAGCCTCCTGTTCCCTATACTTCTCCCCGCCCCACCCCCCTCGCCATAGTCTGTTCCCTAGAGGAGCCCTGTTAACACCTGAGTTAGATCACAGCCTTTCTCAACTCAAAGCCCTCGGCTGGCTTCACATCACTCAGACTAAAAGTCAAAGTCTGCAATGGTTTCCTCCATGACTTCAACTCCTCCCATTTGCCTCTGCTCCAGCCTCAGGGCCTTTGCACTACCATTTTCTGGCTTGGAATACTCTATCCCCAGATATCCTAATGGTTCATTCTCTCACTTCCTTTGGGTCTCAATTCATAGGTCACACCTCAAAGAGCCCTTTCTTGACCACCCTATTTAAAATACCTCCTGTCTTCTCTGTCTCCTCACTGTACCCTGTTTTTCTTTATAGTGCTTACCACCATCTGATATGTTTGTTGTCCAGCTTCCCCCACAATGAATGTGAGCTCCCTAAGGAGAGAGGTTTTGATGATCTTGTTCCATGCAGTATCCCCAGTGCCTAGAACAGGTATGGCACTGAGTAGGTACTCAATATTTGTTGAATGAATGCAGTAGTGAATTAGAAAAGCTGAATTCAGAGGGTCATGATGTGGACATGTCAGATTTGTAGATGCTACAAATTTGTAGCATGCTACAGATTTGTGGATGTACAAAACAAGGGAGGCATGGTGATGTAGAAAAAAAATTATTCAAAATCAGACAGACTTGGGTCAAATTCTGACAACTTTATTTTACTATGATCTTTTCACATATGAGCTAATGTATATGTTTAACAGCCCTAGGCTTCAGTTACCTCATCTGTAAAACAGGAATAATATCTACCTCTTGAGGTTATAATGAGGATTAAATGAGATCTTGCATGTAAAAGTACCGCATCTTCTATTGGGTATTTAATAATTATGCCTTATGACAGGTATTTAATAATTATACCTTAAGACTGATTTGAGGTGACCTCTCAGGTCCAGAGATATCTGAGAGCAGTTTTTCCCAGAAGGTAGAATACGGGACTGCTGGTGGCAGGGAAGAATTTAGGGGGTTTGTGAACATGGCTTTAAATAACTAAAACACCCAACGAGAAACTTTTTTTTATTTAAATTTTCTTTGAAGCTTTCTGATTATGTCAAAGGGGAAGACTCAATTTCTGTGCTGCTGCGTCTTGAACATCTCTCTCACCCATTAACCTCCCTCCTTAACAAAGAGGATACAGGAAGTGCAGCCATCGATAATGTGAGACCGTGGTTTCCTTCTCACTGCATTCTTCTGGTACTTTCTGTTTATGGGCAAGTGATTCTGACTTTCATTTCTAGCAGGAATATAGAGTATTCTCTTAAAATATATATTAAGAAAGTAAGCCGGCTTAAAGAAAATTATTAGTACCAGAAAAGGGAGAGGGCAGGTATACGCTGTTGTGGAGGTGGTGTCCTGTGAGGCAAGGGTGGGAAGGAGTCCAAGTCAGCGCGTGCTCTACCTCCTGCCTGTCGTCCTACCTGAGGAAGTGGGAAGTGACTGGTCTTAGGGGCTGGGGTCTCCTTCACCAGTCCTGGAGGCCTCAGCTTTACGCCTGTTCTCTGCTCCTCCACAAGGTGCCAAGGCAAAACCCAAACCAATTCTACCTGGGGAAGAATGAGGGCTTTGAGAAGCAGGGGAGGTCTGAGACACTGGGATGACAGCAAACGCTGGGAGCCAGGGCTTAGGGGTGAGGCAGGCCTGGGCTTGGTTTTGGTGCTACCACACATTCACCAAGGCCTCTCTGAGCCCCAGGTTCTCTGATTCTAAACGGGGTAGTATTAAGACCAATCTTCCCGGGCCTTAAGGTCCTTAGTCCAGCGCTGGGCACATAGAAAGCACTCGATAAACTGGAGCTGCAATCATTATTATTATTACCACCACCATCATTATCATCATTAAAAAGTCAGAGATGGAATAACAGGGAGGTAGTAGCTGCGGAGGACAGACAGGGATTGTGTTTACATGGTAAGAGGTGTTGAATGTTACAAGGTGGGGTGCGGATGTTGGGGTGGAGAGAGAGACTGACTGGGAGACGTTGAGAAAGGTGGATGGAAACTGGATCCTCCTAACTGGGTGATGAATTGCAGTGATATGAGACAGTGGCAAGTGGGAAGACGTGGGGGCTCCTGGGAGTAGAGTAGCAGCCACCACTCTTGCTAAGCAGGGATGAGACCTGGGAGGATGCTTGAGTTCTAGTCCTGAGCTGGGACTGGGGAAAGCGCCATGCTGATGATCTAGGGATCCTGCCCTGGCGCTGATCCCTTCTCCCTTGCCAGTGCTGCCTTAGCCCCTGGGGGAAGCTGGGGGATGGGTGGGGTGAGTTGATATAGTCTCAGCCCTCCCAGGAGGCCATGAACTCACACACGTGTCTCCTCTAGGACAGGTAAACAGGATGGGTGCCTGGGTCAGCTGCTCCCTCCCTAGGTTTTTTCCTCCCACTCATTCCCTGGGGGTGGCTGACCCACCCAGCTATCCTGCTCCACGCCCAGTTTTCTCAGCCAAGAGCCACCAGGATGCTAACCGAGACACCCTTATGACCACTCTCAGGGTCGCAGCCCCTTCTTTTCTGGACGCCTGGGATCCCCACTGAGGACTGAGGCCAGTTTCACAGCTCCCAGGCTCTCCATGGGCTGGAAGGTGTGGAAGAGGGTGAGAGCAGTTACCTTTAGGTGGCAGTATGGGAGAGGAGAGAGATGGAGAGGCAAACGCTGACTGAAACTGATTGAAAGACCAAGAAAAGGCAACTAACTGACTCTCGTTCTGGTCCCTGACCTAGGCTGGCTTACACCTAGGGTTGGTCCTGTTCCCCTGGGTTCCCTACCCTTGCTCCCTGGAGGGGTCCTGACGGTGATTCCCTTCTCCAAAGTCTCCTCTACCTGCTGCCTCCAGTAGATACCAACTGCCTGTCTCCTCAGATGCCCCCATCCCCACCCTGTGCCCCAAATTCCTGGGGTTGGGAAATTGAAACACTTTTGTACCTATCTCATTCCATTTCTCCCCACCTCCCTGATGCATGGACTCCCTCTCTCTGTTTCAACACAGACTCTCAGACTCACAATTACAGCTCATTACCCTATCGGTGGCTGGCCCTGAGTCACACTAGTGGGGAGGGACTCTGGGCTGCCCGGCCCTGTCACCTTCTCCCAAGCTATGGTATAAGGAGTAGTGGCAGGGAGGAGGACTGTGGGAAGGCAGGGGAGTCTGGGAAAGGAGAGAGAAGGCTGCAGACCTAGAGGGAGGGAGAACAAGGTCGGGAGGAAGAAGAGAGCACAGGAGGGCACACGGACACAGAGGAAGAAAAAGGGCAAGAAGAAGGAAGCTTGGGCGGGAGGAAGACACTCAGGAGAGAGAAGGAGCGAGACAGAGATGAAGTTGCGGGGGTCTCTGGCCTGCCTCCTGCTGGCCCTGTGCCTGGGCAGAGGAGAGGCTAGCCCACTGCTAAATGCAGGGGCAAGCGCTCAAGGTGTTGGGGAGGCCATTGGACATGGGGTGGGAGATGCCATTAGCCATGGAATTGGAGAGGCCTTTGGCCAAGGGGCTGGAGAGGCAGCCCCCTCTGGAATCCGGGATGCCGTGGGCCCGGCAGTGGGAGATGCTTTTGGCCATAGGGTTGGGGAGGCCATCCACCAGGGGGTTGGGGAAGCAGCCCATGCTCTTGGAAACACTGGGAGTGAGGCTGGCAGACAGGCTGAGAATATCATTCGACATGGACTAGATGGCGTCCACAGCTCCTGGCAGGGGATGCCTGGCAGCAACGGTGCTTCGGTGAGTGGCTGGAAGGAAGCTGGGTGTGGAAATGGGAGGCTGTGGGCAGCTGGGTTGAGAATCTTGAGAATTGTTTGAAAGGATGAATGGGGAGCTTATTAGTGGCTGTCTGAGGCAGTTTCCTTCCATGTTATGCATCCTTCCTCCATGACCTTGGGGTCTCTACCTGCCTCTCCCTATGTCTTGCTCTGGCTCCTCTCTACTTTAGTTGCTCTGCCTGCCCCCCCGCTCATCACAGAGTGAAAAACACGCTAAGTGCAGGCATGTTGTCCTTGCAGGGAACCAATGGCCAACCTCCATCTGGAGGCCACGGCACTTTTGGCTCTCAGGGTGGCCTTGGAGCTCACAGCCAGGGAAATCCTGGAGGTTCAGGGACTCCCTGGGGCCCTGGACATCCTGGAGGCTCAGATGGCAGCTTTGGAACCAACTCTTTGGGAAGCTCCTGGGGCCAAGGAGGCAACGGAGGGTCACAAAACATGGGGACCAATGCTCAGGTAAAGTAAGCACCCCAGCCCTGACCCTGCCACCTCCCTCTCTTCAAGCCCACACTCTCCATGCCTCCCTTGTCCTTCAGGTCCCACACTCAGTCTCACCCTCCCTGCAGGGAACTGTGGCCCAACCTGGTTATGGCTCAGTGAGGGGCAACTCAAATACAGAGGTAAGAGGAAGAGTCTGGTGCAGAAGAGGGTGTCTGGGTGCATGTGATAGAAAGTGGGGGAGACCAAGAGGAAAGAAAGACAAGGGAGGGAAGGGCCTGAAGTGTGAGGCAGATTGGCCAGGGAAGAGAAGGGTGTGGGAAGGAGGCAAGGAAGAAAGGGAAGGAAATTAGATGAGGATGAGGGAGAAACATTCTGAGAAAGAAAGCCTAGCTATAAGGAGCAGGAGAACCTGGCCTGTGGCAATGGCTTTGACTGAAGTCTCAAAGCTCACCTGTTCTCTTCCTCTGCAGTGCACCAACTCCCCACCGTCCGGCTCAGGTGGAAGCTCCAGCAGCTCTGGGGTAAAAGAATGGGCAACCTGAGGCATTTGGCACAGGGAGAAAACAGAGAAACTCTGTTTCCCTCAGCCTGGGCAGGGAATATGCCCAAGCAAGAGAGGAAGGGGACAGAGGGCAGAAATCTTGGTGTTCTCATGTTCAGTCCTTGCTCTGGTCTCTTCCTGCCCTTCAGGGAAGCGGAAGCAGCAGCAGTGGTGGCGGCAGCAGTGGCAGCAGTGGCAGCAGTGGCAGCAGTGGCAGCAGCGGCAGCAGCGGCAGCAGTGGTGGCGGCAGCAGCGGCAGCAGTGGCAGCAGCGGCAGCAGTGGTGGTGGCAGCCGTGACAGCAGCAGCAGTGGTGGCTGCGATGGCAGTGGTGGTGGCAGCAGCGGCGGCAGTGGTGGTGGCAGCAGCGGCAGCAGAGGCAGCAGTGGCAGCAGCGGCAGTGGTGGCTGCGATGGCAGTGGTGGTGGCAGCAGTGGTGGTGGCGGCAGCAGCGGCAGCAGTGGTGGCGGCAGCAGTGGCGGCGGCAGCAGTGGCAGCAATTCTGGGGGCAACTGGGTGAGTTCTGCTCCTTTGTTAAAGGCAGAGATAGGCTTAGGCCTCTGGTGGTCCCTGCTGAGGAAGCAAACTCCAAGGTCTTCCTGAAAGCTGCCAGCCTGGGATGAGCGGCATCACTGGCAGTTGTTATGTATCCCGCCCTCCCAGCAGGATTCCTTGTATAAGCACTCTGATTCCTCCAGAAGAGGTGCCCTGCCTACTTCCGATCACTCTATACCCTTATCTCTGCCCTATTACGGTGAAGATATTCTACCTCCTGTCTAGCCCCTGTTCCACTTGGCCAATCCGACTAGAGCGGAGGATAATGGGTGGAAGAAGAGAGGTGGGCACAGAAAATCATGACACTTGCTAAGGACGCTATCAGGAGAATGGGGGCCAGCCCTCCCATGTGGAGACCTAAGGACATTTACAGAGCTGTGGTGCAGACAAACTAATATACGGAGCGTACACATGAGGCCCCTGCACTTTGGTGAGAGCGCCGGGAAGGGACCACAACCTGCAGCGGGATTAGGGGGCAGCTCCGAGAGGAGGGCCTGCAGAGAGAGCGCACTGCTGGCTTCCTTGGGGACCAGTCTGGAAAAGGCGTCAGGCAAGAGGAGGGAAGCAACTAGAACGAGCCAGATAACATAAGCTACTTTGATTTACTGCTCCTTGTGCCACCCGCTTTTCCCCCATCTAAGAGCGACCCTTAGAAAATTCTAGGAATTGGATCAAAGCAGATACTTAGGCTCCCAGGTAAACACTCTAGAGGCTCTATCCCCTTTCGGTGTTCGAGGAGAGCGTGAGAGGAGAGGCAGGGGCAGGGCAGAGGGAGCCCCAGCCTGCCCTCGGCTCCACGGTCATGGCTTTTGTGAACTTAGGCTCCAGAGGCCTGGCATGCGGTGGGGGTTGGGGAGCAACAGCTCAGAATCCCCAAAGTATCCTACGTTTCCGAATACGGTTGGCTACGCCTTGCTTTCTCTGTGCTCTGAATAACTTCCCACAGTGACTGACTGGCTAAAAGATGGGAGGGTGTGGAGGTTGGGGAGAGAAAGTTAAGAAAATACAACATGGCTGGAAACTATTGGTCCCTTCCAAGTCCTTTTAAGATACCAGGTTGACGTGTGTTTTCTCTCACAGAACTACAATGCTGGCTCTTCTTCAGGTAGCAGTGGCGGAAGTGGTGGCGGAAATAAGCCCGGGGTGAGTGTCTGGTGTTCACAACTGCATAGATCTCCCTCGATTGTAGGAAGGAGAATAAAAGGCCCCTCAGATAATGGGAGAGCAACAGCCAGGGCAGAGAATGGGGGTGAACTGCTGCTGAGTGAGGGGGGTAGACATGGGCTAGCCTTGGGGTTAAAATGCTACCAATTGAGGGCTGGAATTAGTGTCGGGGGGTGGGGAGCGGGGGACTGAGAGACGCTTTTCTCTTTCTCTCTCCCACAGTGTGACAACTCAGGGAATGAAGTCCGAGTTTCTGGAGGATCTGGGGGTCAGGTGAGAGCCAAACTTGGGCGTAACTACAGTTCATTACTGCAGCTGTGCCCACTCATCGTAGCTCCGCTGAGCCCTACTCCTAACTCTGACCTCCATCCTTACCCTGTCTGTGGGGAATTTACAATTTAGAGGAGGAAACCAAGCACGTAAAATTATTAACAGTCTCCAGAGTAATAATTAATTGCAAGTCCTTATGTGATATACCATAGATAGGGTATATCACAGATAGGGCTCTGAAAAATCGTATGAAAACCAGTCCTTTTAGAAACATAATCATTTCAATCATACTATATCTGGCCAGTGAACAGAATTCAATGATCCCTTTGACCGAGTTTTGAAGTGGTGTTTTGAAAGCCTACATTCCCCTCTTAGTTATTCTGGAAATTTGGGCTTTCTGTCAGCACCTGCAGCGCTGACAGAGGAATTGTGAAGCCAACGTCCACCCAGATCACCTAGGGGTCTTGTGAAAAGGCAGGTTCTGATTCAGCAGCTTTGGGGTGGGGCTGAGAGTCTGGTTTCTACCAAGATCCGGGTGAGACTGACGTTGCTGCTCCGTGCCCTGGCATGTGACCTGCAGGGTGAGGAGCACGGTCTGTGGTGCTACGTTGACAAGGCTTTCTGAAGAGCTCCTCAAATACTGGGTTTACTAACCCTTTACGGATTGACAGGTTTTCAGAAAACTCCCAGTTCGTAACTCTATTTCTAGTTCTTTACATAACCACAGTCTTGTATGGTTTCTGCTCTTGAAACTAAAGGTCTTTATTTTTTTCTAGCACTACTAATACTTCTATAATTTCATTTGAAAATTTAACTCTTTAATCCATCTGGACTTTATTTGGCTGTATACTGTCTAGTCCCACTCCTCGATTCAACTAGGCAGACCCTACACTTTAGATCAGACTTGTGTGTACCCTTATGAGGGGAAAATCAGAAAAAAACAGAAGGGAAGAAATTGATAAAGTATAACTAAGTTTTTCACCCCCAAACTTAACTGGTACTCCCAGTTTGTGTATTGAATCATTTCTACCACTGATTTAGAACATCACTTTTAAATACCTTAATATTTAGGGAGTGCTTCTGGGAGTTCTATTTTGTTCATTCACTTCATCTATTCTGGGACGGCAACCATTCTGCTTTATCTATGGTAGCTCTATGGTACATTAATATCTGCCAATACAAGTCCTCCCTGGCTGCTTAAATTTTCCTGTTATCTTACCTATTCTTACGCATTTATTCTTCCAAATCAGCTTCAAGATGACTTTGACAAGCTCCAAAATAGAATTTCATTAGGATTTTAAGAAGAATTGTGTTATATCATACATACATTTGCAGGAATGGGCCTAGAATCTAAAACAAAGATTTGTGTTTCATCCCTCAGATCAGAGGAGGACAGAGAGACCCCAGCAGCTTTGGTGACGTCAGGGTAAGGAGACCAACAGGTCTTGAGAATAGGGACTGTGGCAGCACTAAGTGGCTGGAAGTCAGCTCTCCAGCAGCAAAATTAACAGAACAGATAATTCCACATCCTGGCCTGGTCTAAATTTTAGCTCTGGGAATGAGGAGGTACTGGTGGGTCTCGGATTCACACCAAAAGGTGAAAGCAGGACTCAAGAGGAGACTACGTCTCATGTAGGTGGGCACTAGGCAGTTTACTTCCACGCCACCTCAGTTCCCACTGACTCTCCAGCTGGCATCACCATTCTGACCAATGCAGAACATCAGCCCGCACTGGATCCTGCAGTTTGAATCAGTTCATTCCAACAGCCTGTCTGGCTCCTGCCTCAATGCCAGGGGAGAATTCAGATACATTGGTGGCCAAGGCCCTTCTTATTGGGCAGCTTGTAGACATGAATAGAAACAGGTGGTTATGGTACCAATAAGCATTGTAAATGAGCAAAAACCTGATCCACAAGGGGGTAAAACAAGATTTGCCAGGGATGATAGAGTTACCCAGAGAGATGGATCACTCTAGGGATCCTAGGAAGTCCTCGGTCATGCTTACCTCTCAGTCCCCTGATTCAGGAATTTCTCACCTACATCCTGCTATCCTGCCCTTTCATCCTGCCTGCCTCCTCTGCCAACTCTTCTCCATTTTCTCTCTTCTCAGGAGATAAGCAAGGAGAGCAGTCGCCTCCTTGGGGGCTCCCAAGGCAATTACCAGGTGAGCAGGGATGGCTTTAGGAGAAGGGGTGGCAGAATATGGGGACAGAGTGCCAAAGGCCTGGGAAAAGAAACAGAAATGTCAGTTTCTTGCAAGCTGCTCTGAACTTGTGTCATGTGACCATCAGGAGGCCAAATGGGGGTCTGGGATCCCCATCATCCTCGATTTATCTATTCTCTCCCTCTTTCCAACTGCAATCACAGCCATTACTTCTGTGAGGGAAAAAAACAGCCAAAAATAACAAAAATGGCCAGGAGGATAGTTTTTGAAACCAAACTTAAGAAGGCAGTGTTGAGAAGTGGAAAAGCAGTAAACTTTGAGTTAGAAATGGGGGTTCAAATGCCAGCTGGATCACTTGTCATCTGTGTGTCTTTAGGCAAGTTGGTTGACCTTTCTGAGCCTGGGCTTCCTCTTGGGTAAAATGGGGACGACAAAGCCCAACTTGCTCACCCTCAGTTACTGCAGAGCTCTCTGCATCATAACCAGGCCAAGATGGTTCAGGGTCCAGACACAGGAGTCTAATGTGGAGACAGATCTTGAGGCAAGCTGCTGGACAGCTCTAAGTTTCAATTTCCTCATCCGTAAAATGGAGACATCGCCACATAGGAATGTGGCACAGGGCTCGGTGCATAGTAGGACACATTAGGGAGTGGGTGGGGTTATTCTAGGAAGCAAGTAACAAGTCATTCCAGGAAGGTTTTCTGGAGGTGGGGTTCTTAGGTGCTGTGTAAAACAGAGAGGCGAGTTACAGAGAGCACACTGCTCTTGAGCAAAGGCAGTGGTGGGCGGGCTGGGAGCAGGCAGAGACGGGCTGGCGTGCATGACAGGACGCATAAGCCTTGAACATCAGCCTCCCTTTTCCCCACCCAGGGGCAAGGGTCCAATGGGGGAGGTGAAGCTGTTGGTGGAATCAGTAACTTGGTGAGTGGAGGTATCACCCCGCCTTGGGCAGGGATCTCCTGACACCCATAGCTCCTAGCCCTGCCTCCTGCTCGCAGAGTAGGTTCTTACTCTCATCCCATTTCTCATTGTTTCCTTAGAACTCTCAGACATCTTCTGGGATCTTCGGCTTCGACACTTTCTGGAAGGTGAGTTCAGCGAGTCTGTTCTTCTCATTTTCTTTTGGAAAACCAAACCCTGTCCCTTGGCCCCACAGGATAAAGTCCTCTTTCTATAACAACCAACAGCGGTGGTCCTTGACCTCTCGCTCCTGAGGCCCTGAGCCAATTACATAGGACCCAGTTTGGTCATTTTTTTTTCTCTGCAGAACTTAAAATCCAAGCTGGGTTTCATTAACTGGGACGCCATAAACAAGGTAAGGGTTGGAAGGCCATTGTGTTCGATCTTTGTGGGAGAGGGATGTAGACAAGAAATCTAAACCTCTGCTTGATGATCCAGGAAAATAATGATGATGACCACTAAGAGCATTTTGGCCAGTGCTAAAAAAAAAGTGGGGGTGGGTGGAGGGAAGAACAGTAGAGACCCGAAAAGAGAGGAGGAGTTTGGAAACAGCTGGGAGTTGAGGATGAGGAAGGAATGGGCTTATTTTGTGTCTTAACATGCAGACTTGAACAAGTCTGAGCCTCAGTTTCCCCTTTGAAACCTGGAGGTTAATGGAAGAGTATGAAGGCGCAATCCTCAGGAAACTAGAGAGGCTGGGTGGGGACGGACTGCATAGTCAGGTGGAACTAAAAGGCCAGATGAGGACTGATGCTGGCAGTAGAGGGAAGGAGGAAGCAAAGATCTTCTGTGGACTGGATGAGTGCCCTGTGCATACATAACCTCAGGAGACACTTGGGGCCCAGAACCCCTTTCGCCTTCCTCCTTGCAGGGGAACCCCTGGCCCGACTGTTGTGACATCAGAATAGTAGAGGGAGTGGACTGGAAGGAGCAGATAAGGGTAGATAAACAATCCAAACAGATACCAAAGGCTTCTAGAAGCTGCAATTGGCAGCCCACTGATGTGTTTTGTTTGATCCATTTTTTAAAATGAATTAGTTGCCAAAGTTTAAAAGTTGAGAGACTTCACAAAATGACTTGGGTTCCAGGCTTTTCTGGAAAAATTTGGCAACAGTGGGCTCCTTTCCAGGGACTGAAATAAACTGGAACTGAGTAGCAGCAGCTGCTTCTTTCCATGGTGGCTTGCTCTCTCAGAGCTAAATGCCCCCTGCCTATCACACTCGTTCTATCCACCCAACTGGCCTCTCTGAGCAATTGAGTTCCTAACCCTTAACTTGATAGAATGAAGATTAGGATCATGCCCTCCAAAACCTTCAGGAAGTAGGGGTGGGGATGGTGGTAGGCAGAGGCAAAGAGGCAGCCCAAACCTCAGGAAAGTCAAAGTCTGCCCTTTGAGGTTAAGTGGGGAGTGGAAGATAGGACATACAGACGTTCCCAGCTGCAGCACAGTTCTGATTTGATTGAACTAGATGAACAAAATAGACCGTTTCTGTTTTAGAGAGAGCAGTCTCTGGAAGGGGCAAGACTCCTTACTGTGCGCCATGGGGAGACCAGGGGAAGCATAGGGAACTTGAGTCTGATGAGGGACCCAGGGCACATACAGGCACCTTCCAGAGAGCCAGAACAGACAACCAAGGGTTTCTGCACATCTGGGGATGGGGAGCAGTAAAGCCAGTGCTTGGGATTAGGCAGGATTCATTTGGGGCAGCTTCTTGGAGGAGCAGATCTCTGAAGAGGGGCAGGACAGAGGTGGGCAGAGAGGAGAATGGAGAGTCCCATCTCCTTCGCAGTGAGGGGTGGTGGTGAGGGGGCTGAGGATTTCCTCCAGAGTGAGGACTAAGGACTAAGGACAGTTCCTGGCAAGGTACGGGGGTTTTCAAGCCCAAGCTGGTATATCTGAATTTGATTGGATGACAGCCGTGTACGAAAAGGTCCCTGCAGATTTCTGGAGCAGGGGTCCAATCTACCCTTGTCTTGGTCCAGTACACCCTGAAGTCCTATTCCTTGAGCTCCCTCTTAGAACCTATTTCTTTGCCCAGGGCGAGAGGAGCTATCGCGTCCCGTGACCTCCAGAAAAGGAACTACCAGATGGATGAGAGTCCCCCACCCCTTCTTAAAACAACACTATCTCACCACTAACCTCAACACTAGCCCTTGAAATAAACCTTAGCTGCCCCACACTCCTGGTCTCTGCTCCTTTCTTACGTCTCCACTGTCGTCCCAGGGGGTCTTGGAAGGGCTGACTTCAGCCCCATAGCTTTGGTAAATGCCGAAGGTGGCATGGCAGGTGAAAAGGCAGGAAGCTCTGCAGGCAAGTTCTGGTCCTGAGGTTTTGCTGCAGTTATGTTCTGCCAGAGGCTTGAGAAAATGGGATAGAGAAGAATGCTCTGTATGTGCTGGGGGCAGGAAGGATGCTTAATGGCTCCAGAGATCTAGCTTCTCTCTTCCTCTGCTTCCAAAAATAGTTTTCTGGTTCCTAAAAACACCCAGCTTCCCCCTAAACCATGGTCACGTGCAATTCTGAAGACTGAGCAGGAGTAGGGGTTTCGATGAGCAAGGGGTCAGGCTCCCTGCTAACCTGCTCCCCACCTTTCATCCACAGGGCCAAGTCCCACCCCCCAGCACTCGAGCTCTCCTCTACTTCAGCCGACTCTGGGAGGTAGGACAATTCTCGCTTTTTGAAGAGCTGGGGATCTTGGTCATCCTCTCCCCTCTCCCCTCTTCCCTCAAGGCAGCCACCCCAGCTCCAGTCTACCTGTCACTAAATTCTCCCTTTTCATTTTTGAGATTGTTAATCTCACCCAAATCTTATCACCGATACCATCAGAAATTCTGATACCCTCAATCTCTTATATGCTTATCTTCACCTAACCTCAACCCACATGCAGCCTCCAAAACCCATTCTTGCATGTGGTCTTGAAACTTTCCCAATAAGCTGTGCCACACATCACCCTCTGAATTCTGTCTCTCTTTGGCCCACTCATCTTTCCATCTCCCTCCAGGATTTCAAACACAACACTCCTTTTCTGAACTGGAAAGCAATTATTGAGGTAAGGGCGACAAAACCTCTCATTTCGGGGTCGCGAAGCCCAGATCTGGGGACATGGGGTTCTGGGAACTTGGCAGTGGCTTCTAGTTTCTGTCCCAGTTCCTTATCCTTTCTGCTGAGGGAGGGCGCCTCCCTCCCTTCCCACTTTTCTCTTTATGCAATGCTGAGTGGGGGTGGGGTGGGAGAGGGAAGCTGTGAGTCACTGAAGGAGCAGGGTGGCGGGTCCTCCCTAGGATAAAAGCTCAGGCCAAGAGTTAGGGCACTCACAGGTGTAGGAACATGAAGCTGGCTACTGTCTCTGCTTTGCTGCTGCTCCTGCTGGGCGTGGCCTGGCTCCGAGGGAGCCCCAGCTTGGTGGGTACTGCAGGGTGAGCAGGTGGTGGGGACCATGAGGTGGGGAAGAGGGAGGGACCTCAGAACTAAAAAGGGGGGCACTAGGGAGGAAAGCTGAAAGGAAACAGAAAATATGGGGGTTAAGGGATTCAGGTCATCATTAAGTGCAGGCAGATGCAGGGTTCTGGGAAGGGTAGATAGGACCTCTGGGTCTTCCAGAAAGCCATACCTTGAGTCTGCATGGCCAGTGGCCTTTGGGAATCAGGACCCTTGGGCACCGAGGCAAGAGTTGCTCACTCACTCATCTACATGGGCCAGACACTTGAGATTGGACAGGCGGGGCCATGCAAAGGGGGAGGTCAAGACCTTCCAGCTGAGTGCTGTCATGCACTCATGTAGCACCAGTGTGGCCATGTCACCTGATTCTTCAGGAAAAGTTAGAAATCTGATTTTTAATTGCTCATAATGAATTTAATTAGAAATGCATACCAAGCAAAAAAATGTCTGGAGGCCTGGGGTCAACTAGTTTGTGACCTCAGTACTAGGATAAGAGTGGAATTAAAAGTCAATGTCAGATGTGGATAAGGTGGAGTTAGGAAGAACATCTTAACCGTGCATGTGTGTGTGTGTGTAGGGGGTGGATAAGATGGAGTTAGGAAGAACATCTTAACTGTGCGTGTGTGCGTGTGCATGTGTGTGCATGTGTGTGCACACGCGTATGTGCATGTGTGTGTGGGTGTGTGTGTGTTTAGGGGTGGATAAGGTGGAGTTAGGAAGAACATCTTAACTGTGCGTTTGTGTGTGCGTGTGCGTGTGTGCGTGTGTGTGTGTGTGTGTGTGTGTAGGGGCGGGTGGCGGTAGGGTTCCTTGTAGAGAAGTGATGATGGCAGAAGCTAAACTTCTCTCCTACTGCTTAGAAACATCCCCTTGCCTTGCTCAGGGAAGGGTAAGCGGCAAGCGCATCCGCAGTGTGTCTTACGTGGCTCCATCTGCTCTCTTGTACATCTCCCCTTTCTTTCTCTTTGACCCAGAGCTAACGCTTTGCCTCTGTGGATAACAGCCCGTTTTTCCAAGGACTCTGTAGAGAACAGTGTTTGTGAACAGGAATAAAAGGGCCTGTGAGGGGAGCAGGGTTTGGTATCAGCAAAAGGTGGGCTGAGGCTGAGGGGCCTGGGTCTGCCCCAGGGGAGCCTGTGTGGGCACCACTCATTTGTCATTCTAGCGCCATCTCAGGCCAGCCTGCTAATGCTCCAGATGCCTGGGTGGGGGTGGTATTGCCACAGCCAGTTCTCTACCCTTTCTCCCTAACACTAAGTGTGGAAATCTGTCCTGCATCTATTTGGATCATTAGTTTCCTCCAGGCTCACTGCTCTCTCTGTAGGCAGCATTTATCAGGGACCACTGAGAGGGGTGGGGTGGGGTGGGGTAGGTGGGGTGCTGGTGCTCCACAAGGAGGGCAGACCCTAGGCAGCAGGGTGCTGGAGTCTTGCAAGGCTGGCCATGCCTGAAGGACCGGGACGCCCTAACCGTGACTCCCTCTTCCTTACAGGGTGCCAATGCATCATCACTCCAGAAGAGGGCGGGCGGTGCTGGTCAGGTAAGTCTGCCTACAGACTGATCTTGTAGGCTCTTGGTCCCTCTCTTGTTCCTGAGTCTGGCCAACCAGAAATTCACTCCGCCACTCTAATTTTCTCAGCCTGGTGCAGGATGGCAAGAGGTAGCAGCTGTAACTTCTAAGGTACGATATCTGCCATGCGACCTCCTGATTTAGACCTCGCTTATAGCCTTGGTCTCCTTCTTTCCCCTTCCAAGTAACACTTGGAAGGAGTTGGAAGAGGTAGCGAGGGAAGGAAGCGGGGCCATTTGGGCTAAGAACGCAAAATGAAGTGAGAGTGTGGGCTCTGGCCGGCTGAAGGAGATTCTAGAAAAGAAAACACATGACCCAAGGAGGGGAGAAGGCAGGGGCTCTGAGAGGGGTCCAGCTAGGGCAGGGAGGCGGGGTGTTTTCCAGAGCAAAACGCCTTCATACCTTCTGTCCTGAGCCCCACCCCCACCCCTGTTTTCTGCCGTAGAACAATTATAACCAGCAGGCATATCCTACTGCCTCTGGTGGGCAGTACCCAGCCAAGATCCCTGCTAAGGTAAGACCTGTTTACAGTGGGAGTCTCTGCATGGGGGTAAGCGTGGGAGGCTTTTGCTACCAGGGTCCTCTACGTGGGATGGCTGAAGCCAAGTCCTGTTCATTTTGAAAGTCATGTCTCTCCACCCCTTCGTGGAGAGACTCCGGCTCCCTGAGAACAATTTGGAAGTGGAGGGTAGAAGGTCCAGTGCTCTTCACACCCGCCCACTCAGAACACATTACAAGGGAGCAGTAGCTGCATCATATGCCATGGAGAAAACTGGGAACCGATATCCTCCCAAAGATAAACATATATTCTAAAAAAAAAAAATCACATGACACATGGCGGAACAAACAGCCTTTCTTTGTGGTTTCTGCTCTATACCTCTTTAACCGCTGACCTTTTGTGGGTAGCGGGAAGGGAATGAGTGGGAGGGGGGAAGAAGGTGGACTGGCACTTAGGCAGAGCTAGCCCAGGAACTGTTGGCTGGTGGGAAAATGAATGCTTCATTCCGTAAAGGAAATAAAAGGAAAAAACATTTGAGAATTTTGTTGCATTCAGTTGCAAAGAAAGCAATCTTATAAGTTCAGTAAGTAAATGTGCTAAGTACTCATTGGGCTGATGAATTAAAAACAGGTGGTATTCCCTCCACCTTTCAGAATATAGCCCTGCCCTTGGGGAGAGGCCTCCCACTGAGAGGTCAGCAGCTCTGCTGACTGAGAGGAGGTGAAGAGGCAGTTCATATTACCTGTGGGTGCCTACTTCGCCAATTATTTGTGGCTAATCGCCATCCACCCCGCAGGCAGAGGGAGACCTACCTATTTTCCCTCACTCCCAGGGGCTGTGTGTGCTCAGGGACCACATTCAGTATCATCTTGGATAAAATGTACTTCGGATGATAAATCTGCCATGAAACAGATTCCACGGGCTGAATGTCCACAGTTCAGACCACAGGACCTTTGAGATAATCCTGGTCTGAGCCTGCCCCAGTCACTGGGCCCTTCCTGAGGCCTGAGGACATGGCAGAGTCCAGAGAGGTCACTGTAGCCCTCACGTTACCTCCTCTGATCTCTTTACAGGGAGGAGTCACGCTTTCTTCCTCCGTAAGTACTGGGGCAAAGAAAATCAGGCTTGTGAGAGAAGGGGTTTGAGGCCAGAGGTGCAGGGGACTGTGCGACGTCCACTCAGTCACTCTCCTTGTCCTGCAGGCTTCCCGGGCACAACCTGGCCTGCTGCAGTGGGTGAAGTTTTGGTAGGTGAGTGTCAGCAGCTGCATCCAGGTGCTGAGGCACTGTCACCTGGGGGCAGGGCTGGGATCGTGGCATCTCCTTTGTTCTGGGGGGATGCTCTAAAGGCACTGCGGAGGACAGCCCCGCGTGGGTTGTGGGGAAAAGCTCATAAGAAACGACTGACTCGAAAAGCACCCTCTGAGTGCTGAGTGCAGGCCTGACGGAGGAGGGACCACGAAGGGACAGAATGACACACTAGGTTAAGGAGAGGGACCGGAATAGGAATTGCGGGGGGCAGGGTGACTGCAGAGAGGTGAGCCTTTCAGGTGTAAAGGATCAGAGGCAAAAAGAAGAATTGAGTCACCAGCAAGGAAGAAGTAATGGATTAACTTGGCGGAGCCACACACTCTGTTTTGAAGGATAGCAAAACGAGGGGAACGGCAGGTTAGATTGGTAAGACACAGAGGGACTGTGGGAACGCAGACGCTGGCAGCAAGGATACTCGGTTTCAACAGATTTAGGAGCAGCCACATTCTACCATTTGCTCTTTCCTTTTCTTCTAGAAAATTACTTCCAATCACAACCGAGGCCCTGAAGAATGCCAGTTGACGAGGAACCTGACCGCGCCCCTCCCCCAGTCTCTCTCTGCGCCAGGCTTGGTCTGGGCGCTGACACCTCCTTCTAGGTCGAGACCAGTCTGTCTGTCCCTTGTTGCTTCCCACCCCGTGCGGTGTCTCCTTGACCACCAGCCTCATCGGAAAACAGATACTTTCTTTACCTACTCCGTTTCGTGACGTGAAGTCACTGTGGCAATTCTTCAGGAGGAACTTCCTACTTTTGAGGTTTTCTACGGAAATAAAACATGAATCTTGTTTCTCGAAGGCTCTCAAATCTTGTTCTTTAATACTATACCGATGGCCGAGGTCGGAGAGGATGGAAGAGTGATTTAGGGGCAGATAATCTGTCTTCCTCCTGAGAGTGGCATACAAAACGGTGGGCTGAGAGAGACAGGACCTGGGTAGTCCTGACAAGAAGTAGCCAGCTGATATCACTGGGCCTCAGTTTCTCTATCTTTAAAAAAAGATTTTCACCTAACCTACATTTGAACACCATGCTTACTGCCCTTGAAGCAGTCATAGGTGTTTGCTAGCCCGAAAATGCAATGAGGGAGCTACTCAAATCAGAAGGTGGGAATAAAGAGATTGTTCGAAGAGAGGAGATCTGTCCCGGAGAGGAAGGGTGGGGGCAGGAACAAGAGCGAGAGGTGGGTAGAGAATATGTTGTGGCTTCGTAAGTGCACTGAAGGCTGGATGAGGGGACGGTTGGGTCGATGTGTGCAGGAAGCTGCAGGAAGTGGCTCATCTCCAACACCTTATCACGTGCAGTGGCCCTGTGCCTCCAGGATGCAGAGGGGCAGCGGAACACTTCTCCAGTAATGTGCCGATGAGAAAGGCAGAGGTTCTGGGCGCAGGCTGAGCCTAGGCTTATCATAAGCCGAGGAGCCCTGAGGACACGGCTGGAGAGTCAACAGTTAGAGTCTCTGAGCCAAAGCCCCATTGAGGTCATCGTGTATGTCCATATTAAGGAGCCCCCATCACTCATTCCTTATCTCATATCCCTATGGGACATAAGGACTAAAAGGAGGACCTGAAACACCCTGCCAGCCTAAGTGACCGCCTCTGCGATTGCACGTTTCTTGAGGGCATGACCCATCTGCTTTGGTAACTGTTCCAACCCCAGTGCTTGTCACAGGGCCTGGCACAGGGCCTGGCACAGTGTAGGGCAGGCCTCAAATAGTTGATGAAGAAATGAAAGAAATCGGGCCCAAAATGGACTTGGGGAAACTGATTTGATCAAACCCAGCTGACTGGGAGAAAGAGGACTACTCCTTCGCTCTGCATCCTCTTCCCACTTATGTCCCTAAGCTGGGGCTACTGCTTTGCATTTATCTTCAGCTTCAACCATGCAGGGAGCCTTGCACTACCTCCTGTGGCCACGAGGAGGAGGCCACAGCTGTCCCAGGGCTGACTGACAGCTAGCTTCCAGGGGTGTGGGTGACTTTTCAGAAATAGCGGGAACTCTGGTCTCCTCAAGCCAGTCCCTGAGGGATTGAAAGGGAAGCTGAGGTCGTCAACATGGTTCTGGGTTCTTGGGTCATTCCCAGTCCACAGGGCTGAAAGCAGCCCTTTAAAGTTTAAAGTACCACCTGAAGCAGACTAAGGCCCTCCTGTGATAAGGACTCTAAAGAAGGGCAGGCCACCTCTTTCTCCAGCTTGAACCTCTGAAGCAGCTTCCTGACATCCTTTCATTTTTTCCCCCTAAAATCCATTTTCCCATGACTGCTCAGAATCCTCCACAAACTTTTCATTAGCCCTGGAATAAAATCTCAACTCCCCACCATGGCTCGGGATGATCGGGCTCCGGCTTCCCTCTCCAATGTCATCCGGACCTGCTGGGAAAGGCCCTCGGGGATACTGCTGTTATCTGCCTCTGGAACCCAAGATCTTCAGAAGTTTGGAGCTTTAACTGCTTTAGGTCTAAATTCAAATGCCCCTCTCAAACCAGCTCAGCCAAGGATAACTATGCAATCATTATAGCATCACCCTGTTTTAGCTTCTCCACAGAATTTATCATTCTCTGAAATTATCTTGTTTCCTTTTTTTTTTTTTTTTGGTTAGATTTTGATCTGTTTCCTCTACTGGAACATAAGCTCCACAGAACAGGTGCCAATTCCCAGCACCAAGAGCCAAAATGGCTGTTTAATAAATATTTGTGAATTACAGACTGGAAGGAGGTATCAGAATGAAGCGGGAGCAGTCCAGGAAGTCTTCCTGGTAGAAGTTTAAGCAAAGGGTACACAAGGACAAAGGGTGGGCGGCAAAGGAAGAGACCAGATTTGTTGGGCAATGTGGTTGCTTTCTTAAATACGATAACACTGGTAGAGGGAGGAAAGGATGGGATAGGAATACCCTGAGCTCTGCTTCCCAATATCCCACAGACCCCAATACCCCAGTACCCCACACCCTGGCCCCCTTCCTCTCCAAGTCTTGTCCCCTATGTGTTCACCAAGGCCCCGAGGCCCCAGTGTGCATCCCTTCAAACCCCCCATTCCCTCCCTGAACCCAAGATGCTGGCTCCCAGCCCCTAGGTGTGTCTGTAATGTAGCAATCAGGGCTGGGCCTCGCCTTCTACCCACACTCAAGTTCTGGCAGATCTGGGGTGGGGTGGGGGCAGGCCTGTGGGAAAACAGGGGTTTACTGGTGTGCTCAGAGAGGAAACTAGGAGGTCAACCAGACTTGGAGATGGGGTGATGCAGAGCCAGCTCTGTGCCACTGCCTGACCCATTAACCCAATGTGATGTGTGCAAAGCAATGCTGACTCCCAGGCCAATTCTCCTGCCAGCCATTATCCAAACTGCTGGGACCCTCTCCGAGTGAGAATCCCCCTACCTGATCGACCATTGGACACTGGACACTCAGGGATCACAAACTCCCAGAGGTGGTATAGATGCGGGAAAGGGGAGGAGCTTGGAGAGAGACACTAGATTTTAAAGTTAGCACTTACAACATAAGTCATATAAAACCAAAATTATGCTTGAAAATCCATCAGAAAAGTACCAGATTGAAATAAATCATAAGTTCAGCATAGCCAGGTTTTTCTCCAGCATAAGAACAGAATTTCTTTGTTTGTACACATGAAGCAGCTGGCTTGTGTTTAGAGGCATTTTTCAAAAATACCTATCTTTAAACACTAGAACTAGAACTAGAAATATCTTTAAAGACATATCTGTTGTGACAAGATGCTCATACTATATGAAGCATCTGGAAACTGAGACAATTGCATGTTCATTCTGGAATATATGCTCATTTAGTGCCATTAATCTCTTAGCTCTTTGTTTTTATTTTGCCAAGAGTGTACAGTTTAATTCATTGAAATTAATGCAAGAGTGTGTTCAGAGCTGCCCCCTATGGCCGTGCAGGCTGCACACCACAAAAGGGGCTAATGGGAGGTAACTGCAGCATGCCCCCCAGCTCTCAGGGCATGGGTCTAATTCATGCAAGGTGGTATGTGGGCAGGCCAAGGCCCTTTGTAGGACTCTACTCCACAGCCCAGGAAAAGAGCAATACAGATGCAGGCTCTGGGATCTTGGGGTTTGAACACTGGCTCTGCCAAACAGTGGCTATGTGAGCTTGCTTAAATTACTTAACCTCCATATGCTGTGGTTCCCCTGCCTATAGAGTGTGGGTAATTATAGTACCTACTTCATGGAATAATTGTGATATTTCAATGAGATTGTGTATTTGAAGCACATATGAAGGCCTGCCATGTAGTAAGACATCAATAAATTGGCTAACACTTTTATTGGCAGCATTAGGATCAGGTGGAGAGGAAAATAGGGAAGTCAATTCGTTGCCAAAGAACTCTGGAGCCAAATAGATGATGGCGTTTAGAGGTGTTTGGATCATCTGTTGCTTTAGAGGCCAAAGTGTTCTTCCATTAGCATGTCTAATTAGAGTTGATTATATAATATCAGTTCTCTTTTGTCGATTCTTCATTCCTTCTGCTCCTGGGGTTGACTCCATGCTGACAGAATGGTGGTTAATGAGCTCCTTCAGTCACTGTTAATTAATTTGCAAGAATTCGTTACATATAAAAACTTGTGTCCTCCAGAAAACCTTTTGCGAAGTACTCCACCCACCTCATTTTCTCACTTGTCCCCTCCAGTAGCACCAATTGCACATGACATCCACTCCCACAAGGTCATCCGTGCTTAGCAAGTGTCCCTCAAGCATTGTCTCCTCAGGTAACTCTGAAAAGGGGGAGATGTCATTATGAAAACAGAGGAGGCTTTCTAAGGCTAAAGAGGGATGGGATATTAGGGTCTGGGGTGTGGGGACAGCATGAAAATTGAACTGAAGTGCCAGCTTCTGGGGTTCATAAAGATTGTTTACGAATGACTGTGGCCCTCCCACCCTAGGCCTGCCATCTGTGTACATTGCATCAGGTTGGATAAAGAGGCCCATTCT